CTAGGGAGGCTTCCTCGTCACTGCCATCATTAAGAAGATGATAATCAACTCTCTCGGAGCGAAGACGGCGCTTCCCAAGAGACATGGATAAGTCATCCATATTAAGAAAGAAGTTGCAACATATTGATATGCTTTGTATCTCTTAGAGCTCAAATCCTCTAGTTGGAGCATGTTGGGTAAACAAAAGTCGCGACTGCTGGGCATTCATTCATTGGCTCGGCTTTTGCCGAATAAGTCTTGGCATTATTTACGAATATTCGCGAATAATACGAATAAAACGTCTCGAAATTTAGTCGAATACGAATAATCGTTCCCAGGGAAAAGTCGAATACGAATAGCCAAAATCCTTATTCGTGTCCAGCCCTAACGAGGAGGCCATAGTTAGAGAGGATGGAATGACATGAGGTGTTTTGTAATTTAATGAATTGGCTGGCTTCTAAAGCTTGAACTTCAGAATGAATGCAAAGATGGCAAGGGAGCATGAAGTAGAATATTGTAATGAATCCACACTGAAAATGATACGGATACCTATACAAACCTTGGCCAAGCTCCAGGTAATTACAGCCCTACCAAGTAACCGAGAAACCCTACGATCTAATTGATTTTAAAAAATATATTTCGTCGAAGACACAGCACGTCCGAGTGACCGAGTCACTCAACATTGCCTGTCCTTGCCACTCCCTACTGCCTCTGCTAGGCAAGATCTGTAGGGTCTCTAGGGTCACCTTTGGCCAGTGTTCCACTGATATGAGCCTCATTAGGGTTTGCTTTGGCGATTACGCTGGGTAATTATCAATATTGAAGAGTATTTTTAAGTCATAAAAGTACGATTTTTCATACTTGGCCTGCTAGTCCTTAAATTTGGGTCTTTGGAATGGACGAAATTGGTGGCGGCGGGTTGTACTAGACACTCTCCTCCAGCCTCGGGAAACGGAGCTTTGTATTGAATAACTCGACTCAATGAAAGGATGAAGAAAATGAAATCCGGTAATACCGTAAGAAATGGCTGGGGGTTTGGAAGCCGGAGATACGCTTCAGGCTTGTCAATCCCCTTCCTCCTGCTCATCTCTCCTATCCGTGTTTCCTCTCATTTCCAGAGTCAATTGCCTCCTACCTGCAGGTGGATATCATAATTTCCAGGCCTGAGATTCTCCTGTTATACTAAATTCCCGTTCCAGTGCCACTAATACCTCATCGGCCCAGATGCCATAGTCGCGGACTGGAAGACCACGATGCAATTCCAGTTGCACGCGCCTGACTTTAGGGAGTGTATGCGTCAACGCAAAGGACTCGAAATTGGCGTGCCTGGGTCTGGGCATCTGAAAGACGAATTTCTTATACAAAAAGCTACGAGCGTCTTCAAGGTAGAAATTTCGGCGTTTCGCGTACTCCATGTCCTCGGAAAATCTCTACTGCGTGGTAGAAGTCTCCTTGCACCTGGTACTCGCCTTCCGCAGGGACTAGTGTGATGCCGACATGGTTTTCCTGACCCTGGTCTTGCTCGAAGTTGATGTGGTAGATGTTGAATAACCTAGCCATTACAAATGGGAGAGTATGGCACCCGGATTCCAAGTTATGCTCGCACGGAAGTATAAAAAACGGCTAGACTTCTAGAAGCCGGAAGACTTGGAGGAAATGCTCTGTGATATTATGAAGGTTTAAAGTGTTTTACAATTGTAATATAAAAATGTAGGACAACATGAAGTATCGGACTTTTATAATACATGCCTAGGAGATATTAATTCGGTTTAGTCATGAATGCCATCTTCCAGTTGAATAGCTCTTAACTACTCATATCCAATGTTAGGTTAATCGAGTGGGATACAGCAATACCACCTCGTTTGTAAAGAGGACCAATTCCTGGTTTAGTGAATCCAATGAGATTAGTTACCAATTGCTACCACCAGCCTCCTGTTTACAGAGCTGCTAACAGTGAAACATAAAACAGAGGAGAAGGGAGTGCTCAAACAGTAACAGTGACGCAGAAGGAAGGCAGAAAAGAAGGATAGAAGGACATGAACTCCGTGCTTTATCAATCATGCGTATCTAAATGACATGGTCCGAAAGCCCGTCGCGAGGCCAGCATCCCAACAGCTGGTAACTTTGGACCAAATCATAGGAATCATGCCGCCATATCATCTACGACTGACACAATTTGGTTCCGCGGAGAAAGGAGAGAATGTTCACGGATGGAAGAAAGGAGTTGGGGGAGTTCATCGATTCATTCATGGGTAGTTGGGCTACTGGAAACTCCTCGATCTCAAACATCCATTTCACGAATAGTAGTTCCATTAAGGCCGTCAAGATGACTCCTCATCCCGTAAAGAGCCAAGGCTCCTGTCTGGGCGACTCCTCATCCTGTATAAAACCAAGGCTCCCGTTCGCTTGGTGGGAGCGGTCGCATCCAGTGTGAGTCAATACCAAGATCTGCAATGTCGTGCTCAGCCTTGACGCATCTTGGAGGGGGGGTGTGGGGTTCACGCATTCTGCAAGGGTTATATAGAGAAGTTGGACCACATGAGGGTAACTATGGCTAATCTGATGAACCTGTAATAATATGTTCTACACTTGTTCAAGCGATGGATACCGTACCATAATCAAAGCGCATGGTTGGCGTTGATGTTGATGTTGAGGACTTGAGTTTTAACAGGGGCTGCCTCCGGGGGGGACGAAATTGAGTTACCTTTCTTGCCATTCCCCTATGCACAACTCCCACGATCTTAACCAGAACGCGGCGGAGAATTCACCAAAACAGACCTCTAGTAGTTGCTTAGTTAGGAAAAGAGTATACTTTTTGGTATTATGCTGTTTTTGAGCGAATTGGGCCTGCCTGTGATGGTGGTGATGGTTGGGGGAATGCCAAGAAACGTAACTCAATTTCGTCTCCCCCGGAGGCTGCACAGGCACTGGCACAGGCATGGTCGTAAGGCAACAAGGCAATTAAATAAGGCACCAACATTCCATCAACAGATGTATCAAGCGGCCAGTAAAGAAATCTAAAGAAGTTCCCAATCTTGAGCTCAGTCCTTCGCAGAAGATTTATTTGAATTGAAAAGATTATCTCAGAGTAGACAGTATGGCAGACGACCAGTCGTCCAGAAGACCCGTGGTGTTCTTCGACATCACGCTCGGAGGTACGTTAACCAGCAATCTTTAAACCTACTATTTCTCCAAGTCTGCGGCACAGAATATGCCATCTTTATATTATCATCCGTTTCTTCTATTTGCTTTATTTGTTCTATTTAATTCAATTCAACCAACAAGTCCCGTTCCCTTTGTTTTACTCCGGCGCCGTCGGGCGTTCAACCATGCCATCTCAGGTTCATTCCGACATCCGACTAACATCCACCCAGGCGAACCCCTCGGCCGCATCAAGATCGAGCTCCTCAGCGACATCGTCCCCAAAACTGCTGAGAACTTCCGCCAATACTGTGTCGGCCAACCGAAAGACTCCAGCGGCAAGCCGCAGGGCTACAAGGGGTGCAAGTTCCATCGCGTGGTGAGTCCCTCTTCCGCCGCTCACTCTAGCGCTTCATGGCTGCGTGGAACGCGATGCCTGGTGGGAATGAATAGGAAGTACTGACGAGGGGGCGTTGGGTAGATCAAGAACTTTATGATCCAGGGTGGGGATTTCTTGAATGGGAATGGGACGGGGTCGACGTGTATCTACGGGGGAAGGAGTTTTGCGGATGAGAACTTCAATGTTAAGCATACGGAGCCAGGGCTGTTGAGTATGGCGGTAAGTCGATCTCTACTCCATATCATACCACGTTCTGTACCCTGCAACTACGCTACCCGCTCTCTGGATAGGCGATCGTGAGGTGAGGTTCGAAGGGAATGCATGCTGATATGATATCCCATAGAACGCGGGCAAGGACACCAATGGCTGCCAATTCTTCATCACCACGGCAGCGACGCCGTTCCTGGATGGCAAGCACGTCGTGTTTGGGCGGGTGGTGGACGGGATGGATGTGGTGATGAAGATCGAGCACTGTCGGACGACGGGGGAGGATCGGCCGGTGCAGGATGTGGCGATCAGTCAGTGTGGGGAGATGTGAGAGAAAGGGGGTTTATGCGGAAAAATGCTTCGTGGAACGGTTTGATCGTGCTGGATTGCGCGTCGTTGGTCGGGGAGAACCAGTTGTGAAGGGGAGTTTTAAGTACGGCTCAATCCGCGCATATTATAACTAGGGGATATGGTTATTACACTGATACCCTCCATAGGAAGGAATTCATGGATCCATGCCATGGTGGTGGTAAGACGATTTGAAGGACCATATGCACCTTTCCCTACTATATAAAGCAACATGCAAATACCCACCAGCATCCAGCCAAATTCCTTGACTAAAATTAAACCTATACGACCATCAACCGCCACCCAGAACACAAACCAATTCCCAAACACGAATCCACGCCGCACCTCCTCCATCTATCTATCTTGGCTAGCGGAGTAGTGCGGCTGGTTTTAATATATCAGCGACAGGGGCCTGTGCAACGCCTCGAAATAGATTCCCTGGACGGCCCGTAGGACGGTACTGCTAATCTTCGGAAGCCGGCATCGTTGGAGTTCTTGGAGGTCAATTTGCGTGAGCAGGATTGCGCGGGTTGCAATGGGAGTCTTGGGTTCCTGGATGGGGGTAGGACTGGTGCGGATGACGAGCGGTCGTGGTATATGGCGACAACCATTGTATGCCACCAACCGGGTTGCATTACCTGAGATGTACTATCGTATAGTACCTTCGATATTCCCTTTCGAGTGGGCAGTCTCTTGGAACCGCGTGTCTTCGTCTAGTCATCCCTCGCCGATCACCACTTGTGACCTTTCTCCTCATTCGGGATCATTCGAGGGTTGTCGACAGCCTGAATCGGGGAGAGACTAACATGCCAGCGCCGATCGGGACCAACTGAAGAAACGCATGCGGCCATAGGCGGGAATAATGAACGTTAGACATGAGTGACTACGGGAGTACAAGATGAAAAGTCAATGACCCTGGCATGCTGCTCTCCCAAGACTCATCCTCCACCTTTCCCTTTTGGCACATGCGGCAAGGGCAGGTTAGGGCTCTAAGGGCGTTGCCAAGGAAGATTGACAGGTTTTAAAGATTCAAATGCCTCATCGAGCTCCCTGATAGCACCAAGGAAGCCAATAAGAAGCGACGAGCGAGGAGCGAGGACGGTAATCAAGCTTTTGGGATTTTGAAGGATGACCATTGACCTATATCATAGTGCATAACTGGATTGGGATCGATCTGAAGGAAAAAAATAGAAAGGATCAATGGCTTGGGGATGGACTTTTTCGTCGTCGTTGATCCGCATGGACGGTTTCCTGAACGGGGGATATAGTTTGGGCTAGCCACGACGGCACGAGTGACACGACAGACGGGGGATCATCGAGAGGCCATATGACTTAACAAAGAGAACCCCTCAAAAGTTAAGCTTCCCATTCTCGGGCTATCATTCCTGCGATCTATTTCCACACCTTGGTCAGTGGCAGTAAATCAGTACGTATGAGAGCTTCCTGATGTACAGGCGACTTCGATGAGTAATGGTAGTGCTTTCGGTCGAGTTCACACCGCTGAAAAGTCCATATCTTGATTCATGACTTGGAGTATGTATGCTGTCATGCTGTGTTGGCCCCAGCCACTCCAGGAGCCTTCAGGATAGGCGGATGGAGAAGGCGGGAGGTTAGTGAAAGCTTGGTTTACGGCCTACAGGTCAATCGGCCCAACATCAGGCTATTGCGGGGACGGTGTGTGCAATCGTCAGGAAGGTCGGGGCAGGTTGTGGGAAATGTCGTGGAGTTTTCCCGATGGTACTGGAGCGCAGGAAGTTGGACGATCAACTAAGGTATGCAGAGACAATCCGGTATAGAGGCACAGTTGAAGCCTGTCTTTACTATTAAGGCGCTGGGATTGACGGGGAAGGTGATAACCAGCGCCTTATCCCAGACGTCGATGTGATGCAGCTTTAGATTGGATGCAGGATCGCGATATTTGTCAAGGGGCGCGGCCGCGCCGTGTTTCCCTCCCCCTGGTGTACGAACACAACCAATGTTTCTCCAGATTCCCCTTTCACCGTTGGATATGCTTGGAGTGTTATGGGTAACGAAGAGTAGACTTGCTTCAATGGACCAATACACAAGCCGGACGAGAAATATATATTATGTAAGGTATGGATAATGGGATGGCAAATTCAGATGTTGGTGACCTTCCTGCTTCATGGGTTTGTCAAAGTGTCAGGCATGTCCGATGGTGATTGGCTCCATTGAATGCGAGGGGACGAGTAACTGTGGATAGTAGATGGCTTTAATAATAACAATACTAGGAGGATGGATACATTCCCGTGCAGAATCTTTAGCCGAAAGAGGAAATTAAAAGGTTAGCATTGAGCACAGTAAGGGAGTTTTACCTCTTGGCTGGCTTTTAGTCAGCAAGGGACAATCTTGAAACCGGGTTTTCTAAGTGATTGAGTTGCCGAACGGGGTTCTCCTGTGATTTTCCCTTGCCTTTCTGTTCCATGTGCTCCATCTATTGCCGCAAGCCGGTGAAGCCCAGAATGCGGCCTCTTGGTTAGAAACTCGCCCACCCGCAACCTCCAATCCGCCATGAAATTCGCCTCTCACATCCTCCCACCAAGTGAACCAACCTGCATAAGCAATCAACAATCGTAGTATCGTATTGTCATAACACCTTACATCAGGGCTCTTGGCATATTCTCTCTCAAGGCGCTATCTCCGCCTCCCCATAGCCGGCCACTCCCTTATCCACCTTCTTGAACTTCACTTTATCTGTGGTTGTCCTTTCACTTCTACATCACTTCGGCATCTAGTTCGCGATCCCTTCTCCAACCGTACGGCCCTCTGCGTCATTTGCATGACCTCGTCCGAAGTCGATGCCAACCAGTAAAGACGTTCTGACTTCCTGTTGCTTTCTATGGTCTGGAATCCACCACCGGTACCACCGAACGACCACACCGCACACCTTCCGCCGATTCAGATGAATCTGGAGTCTCAGCTGAGACGTGTCTGACCCACGGCGTTTGAACAAAACCAGATTCACCCTGCAAACGCCTGCAACGTCTGCGCGGGAACCCTCGCTTTTGATGGGTAATAGTCCGATTGCGAACTGTGGTTGCAGCCCTTCCTCAGCAGCCGACCCTCCCTCGCTCTCCACCCCAACCGTGTTTCCTGGATCCTCATCGAGGGCTCGACCGATGATACGAATGATTCGCATAAGCTACCGTTAACATGTCGTCTTCCATCTCCGGTACGGCCATAACCGGGCCAACGCCCTCGCCCTCGCCATCCGCATCGCAGGCACCATCATCGTCCGGCGGCCCTACATCGTCGCCGTTGCTGTTCTTCGTTGCCCTGGGCTTCGGCGTGGTCTTTACCAATCTTTGGTATGTTCCGATTTCTCCTCTCCTCGAGGTTCTACCTCTCCTGGAGATTCTTAGTCTCTTCTTACCTGATCCTCCTCGTTTTGTCGCCGGTGTTGAGGAAAGCCCGCCCGTCATCTTTTGCATCCACGGACTATATCTTCATTTCCATCTTCTTCCTAAATCTCGCAGTGCAAGGACCGACTCTCTCTTGACATGTGGAGTTTGATACTGACAATTTTATGAAGGATCATCGTCGGAGTGAAATACTGCTTCCGATACAACCAACGAAACCGACAACTTCGCCAAGGTGCGGATGGCGAACCGATCGACCTCACACAAATGCCACGACCACATCGTAGACGGCGGGAAAAGAAATTGATGACGATGGACGAGGTAAACGAACGATTCCCGCGGACCAAATATAAAACATGGCGATCTGCGCGAGAATCGGAGGGCCTTCCTGCCGCTGGAGGCATCACGACGGCACCGCCTAGTCGCGCCGCGAGCATCAAAGAGATCGAGACGTTGCATTCGGATAACCGTGGATCGGTTGATTCGGCTCGACCAGGAACTGCAGCTGCCCGCCCTTCCACCGAGACGCCATCATCACCTATCGCTGCATCTTCCGAACCGGATCCACCTACCGACTCTGTAAAACCTTCCTCTCCCGACAAGCCGACCGCCACGACCACCACAACGACCACCACTGTCAGCGACCCTTTTCCAACTCCCTCCCCCACCTCCGTCCCCGCCACAAAAACACCCACCACCACCCCTGCCCCTGAGAAACCCACCCCCACCCCCACCCCCACCCCCATCCCCACCGACCACGACCACGACTCCGACCTCTCCGACGACTCCGACCCGCACACCGCCCCCATCACCGATCTTGTCCCCGGCGACTCCTGCGCCATCTGCCTCGACTCCCTCGACGAAGACGACGACGTCCGTGGCCTCACCTGCGGCCACGCCTTCCACGCCGCCTGCCTCGACCCCTGGCTCACCTCCCGCCGCGCCTGTTGCCCCCTCTGCAAAGCCGATTACTACGTCCCGAAGCCCCGCGCCGACGGAACCCTCCCGGGCTCGGATGCTACTGGTGCGGCAGGGAACGCGGGGGCGACGCCGGCGGTGAGGGTGACGGGGTTGGCGGCGATTCGGTGGGGGTTGCCGACGGATACGTGGCTGTCGCGCTCGGGAAGGCCGGTGGCGCAGCCTGGGCATGGCGGCGGTGGGGATACGCCCACTGGACGGAGGAATCGGGCGCTGGGGCGGCCCAGCCGTCACAGTCGGAATAACAACGGCGGAGCACCGGCGACTGCGGAAGTTGAGGGAACTGAGAATGGGAATGGCAATGGCAATGGGAATGGGAATCCGAGTAGAAGGTGGAGAGCTAGGTTCCCAACGGTGCGGGTCCCAGCGAACGTTCTAAGGAATCCGTTGGCGAGGCGGAGGGGGCCTGAGGGGGCGCCAGCGGAGGGGGAGGTAACGCCGGGGAGGCTTGAGGCGGGACAGAGGGGGGTGCCGCGAGCAGAAGGAGCGTCATGAGCATGCGCATGAGGCATGATCAGCACGAATCTTGGGATTTCTTGGATCGCGGCGTTTCTCCATCGCAGCCGGGCATTATTCAGGTCTGGTCACCTTGCTCCACTCCACCACGAAGATTCGACGCTCGCACGTCGCGCTCTTTAATGGTCTTTGTCCTGTCGGACCGCGTCACGTCGGGGTTTTCATGCGTTGCTCATTCGGTTCGAGCTCGGCATTACTGGTCTGGCATGGTTTCCTTTTAGCTCCTTTCTCGCTTATGACGTCTCCCCTTCCCCTCCACACATTCTCGATGGGTGAGAGCCGTTGAAATATGCTGTCCGGCCGCTTGTCGCAGTTGAAATCGACACCCTCTTTACCAAACCTCCTTCCCCTCGATCCGTCCTTCTCAGCGGTCATTCATACTTAGGATGGACGGATGGACGGGATTCTCTTCACGTATATGATTCTTGCACGTTTCACGGTGCATGGGGACGGGAGCGGTTCGGTGCTCCCCGGGGGATTTGTACGTATGGATGGATGATTTGACATGCACGGATGGATGGGATGCGCTATGGGATAGCGCATGCAAGCGAATTTTGAATCAATGGATGTTTTGAATCTGTCCCTTGAACTATGATGGTTGTTGATGATGATGATGATGCGCTTGCTGATATCGTACATGAGAGAAAAGCTAACCATGCGCAAGTGGAAAGCAGAATGTCAATGTGATTAAGAGGATCCGGTCCTCATATCCAAGCGCCATGATGCTATGCTATGCAAGAAACGAGAGATGAAGCAGCATGACGATCCCGATCCCAACCGTCGCCGAACGAATGCTGCAAAATACTAATATAATATTCTCAATGTCCTCAATTCACACCCCTGCGATCGCTACGCCCACGCCCCCACCACGCTCATCGCCACCGCCCCAAACACCACCATTGCCAACGCCATTGCCCGCCTCCGCCCCTTCAACGCCTGATAGCTCTCCGCGCTCAAAAAGTCCTCTGCCACCAACGTTACCAAGCCCGAGAACAGCAGTAGCCCCGACGAAATGGCGTTGCTGATCCCCAACAACAGTAGCCCTGCCTCCGACTTCGGATCGAACGCGGCCGCATCCTCCCCTCCCTTGCCGCGCTGCGCGAACGCTACCAGTAGCAGCCCGAAGAACTGCCCCAGTGGCACGGTCATCCCGAAGGCGAGGCACATGAAATACGGGGTGATCTTCCCGAGGTTGAGGATGCCGGGGATGTAGTGCAGCTTGGTGGAGACGGGAGAAAAGTCGAGGCTGGCGATGCGGGAGCCGAGGGCGAGGCCTTCGAAGGTTTGGTGGAAGGCAATAGCGAGGAGGAGGACGGCGAAGGGGGCGCCTGAGGTAAGGGAGAGGGAGAGGCCGATGAAGATGCTGTGGAAGAGGATGCCGGCTTCGAGGAGGAGGACTTGGAGGTGGGAGGTGCGGGAGTTGGGTTCCGTGTGGGTGGGGGTGGAATTAGTGGGAGATAGGGGGTCGGATTCGTTGAGGGAGTGGCCGGAGGTGCGGTCGGATTGGAGGGATTCGCAGGGGGAGGATAGCGGGTGGGAAGCGGAGGCGGATGCATCGACGAGAGATCGTGCTGAAGGGATGGAGATGTTCAGAGGGCGTCCGCGACGCTTCTTGTCTTTCTTCCGTTTCCTCCGGTCTGTACTCGAACGGGATGACCCATCTCCAGGACCACTCGGATTCAGCGCCTCCGCCTCTTCCTCATCCGACGGTCCGTTCGGTAACACATCAAACTCAAATCCCAGCTCTCCATGCGCATGCTTGTGCCCTGCCCCTTTCATCGCAAACCACATCTCAATGCCAACGACCACCATCACCGCCACCATCGCGATCAGCCCTGCCATCTCCGGATACTGCTGGTTCCAGAATCTCGGCAGACATGGATCTGTCAGGCTGATGAATGCCGTGGGCAAGAGATGCACGAACGCTGTCGCCACCAGCACTCCTGTCCCGAAGTGCCGCGAGAGGAATAGGAATTGATGCGGGACCGGAACCCTGGGGAACCGCCGGCAGACGATGGGGAAGGCGCAAGCTAGCGTGCTGAGGATGAGAACGAGTACGAGCGCCGCGATGTGGATTCCGGTATCGTAGTTCGCTGTCTCGACGCCGGAGCCGCATGTGGGCTTGGGGGGAAAGGCATCTTGTCGACGGGAGAGCTCGGCCTGGAGGAGAGTGGTTGGGATCGTGGTCCATTCGGGCTTCGAGTTTCCTGCCGAAGTCAATAGGTAACTAAACTAGTCGCGCAAGGGGATGTTGGGATGACGCAAATTCTCACGAGGAGAGGTGTGGATTAGTGGTAACTTACTTGGCGAAACGTCGTCCATGATGGAGATACAACTATAAGCCGCTCCTGCGGCAATTGCGGCACCAGTCAAGGCTGGTATTAAAGTTGAGTGGCGCCGATATCAGGATTTTCATGCTGTTGGAGGATGGCGAAGACCGGGGTCCCATTTGAGAGAAATAATTGAATGTTGAACGAGTAGTGATGGGGTTATGGAGTTATGGAACGATGTTGGAGATGTGAGATATAAATTTGGAACCTTGAGGAGATGTTGTCTCAGTTGGGACTCAGACGGGATCTGCAAGATGGTTGTGGCGGTGCAGGCATCTTTCAGATGCCGTCTGAGGGCCTTTTGCAAGCATTTTGGTGGGCGCGTAGGTCAGAGAGCGGGTTCTTTTACCATTTACCTAGCCCAGCGTAAACTTTTGAGTACTGAAAATTAATATAGTTGACTGAAACGGCTGGAAACTCTGAAAACTTCAACTACGCGTCCACACAAATCTTACAAATGGACCTCAGACGGCATCTAAAGATGCCTTGCCTGCACCGCCACATTATAGTCACGTGCACCATCTGAAGAGACCCGGAGGTTCCTCCATCAGGCGACAAGGTATTAAGGCAGGAAGCCGCGATCCTCCGATCCTAGTTATATCGACTCGCTCATCTAACTATCTCCTTCAACTAACTAGTTACAGGTAGTTATCCATAATAGCCGAGAAGAAAGTACGGCACCTACGTCATCAGGATGGAATCTGCTACCACCATGGACTCAACAATGGGCTTGTATCTGGCCGTTAACTTGTGGCCTTATGCAGCAAAGTTCTTCCAAAGAAACCGTTGAATGATTGTAGGTAGCGAGGTATGTTGCCTCGTTGCCAGCTAAATCAGCACCAAACTAGTTAGCAGCACTTTGGATGGCATGCGAGATCCATCTCAAAATCCCTTCAGCCCTAAGACTGACTGATCAGACTATCAGAGTGATCACTGGTCAGAGCCAGAATCCTACAAGTCGGAGTTGCTCCTTTCGACTTGCCCTCGGCTAGCCTTGCCGATTGCAAGGCATGTCCAACACATCAGGAATTCAGGATCCTTCCATCCGGCATGCAGCTTCACCCCGTAGCTCGCCCCATGGAGCCCTACGCCTCTGGTGGATACAGCTTTGCATGCGGAAAAACGTGGAAAGAGAAAGTAGCTATGCTCCCATTGGCGTTGAATCACCCCAGTACATCGCTACTGCGTCAACCGCTTCCGTTTATTGCGGTTGCCGTTCCGCTGCTGACGAAGCGGCACTAGAGGGGGATCGAATTTACCCAATGGGTGGACTTCCGTTTACTTATCCATATCCGAAATGCATGATCGCCAATTTATCCCGACATGTCCTATCCGATCCTAGATCTCCCTACGATCGTTAGGGCGTCGATGCATCGAATTATTCTTGAGGACGGCTATAGTTTCTCGACTTAGCGCTGACTGATACCATTCCAATTGGCCTTGTCCTGAATTGTCAGTTGCGTTCGTGTTGGTTCGCCCCTTGTGGGTCTTGCATTGGGGCAGTGGATTTTACTCACAAGGAGTATTGCGGCAATACCGTGGCTTCAACGACAGAGACAATTACGTTTATTACCAGAAGCAATTGCGTTTATGACATTAATATCCATTTCACTGCCGATCGGAACTGGAAGTGTTCTGTTCTACTCCCCTAATACAGGATTTTTTGGTTGGAACCATGGGAAAGAAGAGAAGGCAGAGCGATATCGCGGAACGCCAACCAACGATGCCCTCAGTCATACCGGAGGAGGGCATCGATGCCGCACCAGACTCATCATGGATATCACCCGAAGAAGCGGCATGTGTAACTTCACAACCACGCCACCAAGTCCCGCAAGACTTCCTGTTCGTCGAATCCATGACCACGGAACCGAGTACCGGCACCGGAAACAGCAGTTCCAAGAAGGGCCGCAGGGACATCCGAAGCTTCGTCATGCAGAAGGCCAGGCGAAACAAGTCTTGGAGTACCAGCAAGAAGATGATCCCTTCGCCAGCCGCTTCTGGGTTGCTGAAATACGGCACGGGGGAGGAAAGTGTGGCCTCGCTTGGCCAAACGGACGAATTGACATATCCCCGGCCGTTAACCATCCAGCCACTGGCGGACACCTTTGGCTCATTTAGCCCGCCGAGGATAGGCGACCAGAGCGGCGGTAATGCTGAGCTTGCTGCCCCAGACGAGGCTGCCATGGGATACGACATCGATCTCGGGTGGGGACTTGGTCTGGTGGGCAGCAGGTCCCCGACTGCTAGGTTGGCGGGATCCCAGGAGCCCGGAAAATCTCTGACCAGGCAAAACAACCAGCTTCAGTGTGAAGAGTGTAAGAACCAAGCTCCGCAATGGATGGATCTGTACGCAACCTGTCCAAGGTGTGAGAGCTTTGAATCCCGGATTATACATCGTCTTCCTCCTCAGCAGCGATTCATGTTCACTGCATTTGATCCGTTCAATACGTTGCCAATCCACGTAGACGAGAAGGTGGTGGGGATGATGGAGCACTGTAAGTTAGCATCTCGTACGTCAGCGACCCCTATCTCGTTGCTCGAGTAGGCGTCAAGCTCGCCGGTCCACTCAACCACCCCATGACAAGAATACCGTTTGCAAACGCAAAACAAGGGGTTAGGAAAACAAAACTAACACTGTGTAGTCCTCTATGTTCTCATTCCACAGTCCATTCCATTGGACATTCATCGCAAGTCCGATGTTTTGAAAACCACATGGCTTGCAATGGCACTGACGAGCCGAGCATTCTTACATTCCTTGCTCTGCGCCATATCCCTGCATCTCTACCTTGTAGGGTCGACCGACGTCCGATACGTGGATATCGTCTACCACAAGGGACGGGCCGTCGCAGAAGTGAACGCGAACCTATCCGATCCCGCCGCGGCCATCAGCGACGCGAACATCGGCGCCGTATGGAATCTCCTGTGCGTGGAAGAAAGCTTCCTGCTGCCGTTGTGGCAGCGGGATTCCGACTTCTTGAATGATCTGCGACAGCACCACCCGGAACCGGACACCGCGGCGTTGGGAGTGAACACAGGCACGGCTGCATGCGTGGTGGGCAGCAATAACAACAGTCGAATCATCCATCATAATGGCTTGATGCGCATGCTGGAACTCCGGGGCGGGATCACTGGGTTGCAAACCAATCGCTGTCTCCAAGCGTTCATATTCTGGTTAGTATATGTCACCTGCCATTCCATGTGCCCGCGACGACTCGAAGCAAAAAAATCTTTACGGCTTTCCAATTGCCAATTGATTGGGTTTTATTCGTCGTGTCGATGAAGTATGCATACAAATCGGATTGCTTTTGGCAAAACAGAATGCACGGGCTGCTTACACATCTTGACTGATGCAGTTGGCGTTCAATTGGCACCAAACCACCACACCAGATCAGCGAATACTTACTTCGCGATATATTTATAGGCATGCTATGACCAACGCCATCGCGTCATTCCACCTCCCACCGCTGTATCCGATCTTGCTATTCGAGCAGCCGACACCGGCCCTGGTCTCACGATACCAGAGGTACGATCACGACCACGGCCTCGACCATGTCCTTTCGGTCCTTCGATCTAGCCCATGGAACGGTCTCCCCAAAGAACTCGTCCGGATTACACGGAGCCTCTACTTCCTCACCATCGACCTCAACGACTGGTTTTCTTCCCATTCCCCTTTCTCGAACATTCTGGACCCGTTGGACCTGCAAACGCGAGCCGTCCATATTGAGTCATGCCTCCTCCAGCTCCTTGATACTTCCTCCCTCGGGCCACCATCAGCTGGAACCCCTTCCGACCCCGACACAGCTTCTACTTCGATCGGTCTGCTTCACGATGCCTATGCCATCGCACTTCTCATCTTCACCGTCTGGGTCTCCGAGAACTTATCCAACCAACCTAACAATGTCCTCCAATTCACTGCCATCCCACGCCTTCAGCGAGAATTGGTTCTGTCGTCCTCCACCGCTTCTCAGCAGCAAAACGCTCCATTTTGGCCGCCACCGTCGCAGTCAACACAGGAGCGGATCAGTGAATCTCAAGGGCCACAGCTCAACGCGAGCTCCGGCGACGTACGGCTCTGGATTCTGCTAATCGGAGCGATCTGCTCGTCGAGGTCTTCGGAAGGTACTTGGTTTCGGAGCGAACTCCAGCACGGATGCCACGATGCAGGGTTGTACGACGTCGAGGAGCTGCTGAGTCGATGTCGACGGTTTTTGTGGGTCGAGTTCAAGTTGACGGCGGCCGCGCGGGGGATTTGGCGGTGGATAGTCAATGATTAGGAGGGCTAACTTCATGTTCGTAGCGATTGATAACGGGAGTTCAGGGGAGGAATGGATGTTGGGAATTGACTACGACAAAGACCCCTGATTCAGGACAACCCTCCTTCTGGACACCTAGCAATGTAAATCTACTAACGTATTCCACAAGCGAGCGGCGCACCCCCTTTTACTAACAAATTCGGTTTCAATATCTCAACAACCACTGAATAAAATAACCTGAAAACTTGGAATTATGCTTTCCTAGTCATTCCTAGCTTCATATTAAAATATCAGAGCACTAGCTTGTATAGATATCGAGATACCTACTTCTTGACAAGATTTATGGGCCAAACCTCTATATCTTTATAAATGTTCGTGCCAGAGCTCTGAAAATTCAATAGTAAGCTAGGAATGACTAGAAAAGTATGATTCCAAGTTTTCAGGTTATATTATTCAGTGGTTGTTGAGATATTGAAACCGAATTTGTTAGTAAAAGGGGGTGCGCCGCTCGCTTGTATGCGCCGCTCGCTTGTGGAATACGTTAGCATATCGCTCGTACATTAGTTATGCACTATAGATCAACCACAATCGATTATATATAGTTATTGTTGAAACTGTGAACAAATCGACTCAAATTCGGTCTGCTGGAGTTCTCGAGATGTCTCCTCTACATCGTAAATGACTTTTTGTGCAGCTTTGCGCTCCGCTTCTTTAGCAGCCTCCTGAGCGGCAACGATTTGATCTACCGTCGCGAATCCTTCATTAGGATCTGGGACGACTCTTTTCGTTTCCTAGCACTTCCGCCTACATCTTCCAACGTCTTTTCAAGCCTGGAAACTTGCGCTTTTAGCGTGGCGATCTCAGCATTCTTCTCTGAAAGCGACTTCACAATCCTCCCCTGGAACACCCAGAAATCTCGCGCATTCAGCCCATCGTATTGCAACGAATACGCGTCTTTCGGCCCTTTTGGTGTATTAAATGTATAAAGAGTGGGTTCAGGGGGCACATGACATTGCACAATAGTATGATTGACGTTTAATTGTTGGCTATTTAATACTTTGTCGAGATTCAGGAGTAAAATGCTAGTTCAGCGAAATCCGGAGCGGATATTGTGGCTATTAATAATAAGAATCAATTTAACGTACTATCTAGATCCCTTTCGGGTCTATGAGCACGGTATTCTATCTGGTCTGCCGCGGGCAAAAGCTTCCCCGTAGCCCTGAGGCTGCGGGTATGTAAAATCCCGGCTCCTCCCTTTAGTAGACATCATCCGGTGCGGGCCTTTTCGGTGTTGTGTCTAATATCCCCTAGCTGGTTCGGGCCGGGGGAACAGAAGTTTGTCATACTTAGTCCGGAGAGTACACATCATGGGTTCAGGTTTAGACCTGACACGGCGGGGTCGGCCTCGAGTTCGTCTCGGGGGAGCGGAGGCAGCATCCCAGACTTGCGTCAGGGCTCCCTCAATCTGGACAGTGACCTTATGGAAGTTCGTCGATGCTGCTCTTTGAGCGGCCCATTCTTTGACGTAGAGTTCGATTGGGGGAACGTCCGCCTCTCTCTCAAGCGCGGCGATTAGTGTCCGTTTGTAAGCCCCTAGGATCTTTCGAAGGCACTTGTTCTGTACCTTGGCTAGGTCTTTCATTTTGCCTTTAGAGATTGGCTCCCCTGCTGGCGGACTCCCCAGATTAGAGCGCCATATGTCATAATGGGCCGTGTAACCGCTGTGTAGAGCAGCCTCGATTTCCGGACGGATGGTCCCCATATCGACGAAGTTACCCTTGCCAGGGAATCGAAAGCCTTAAGTCCCCTTTGTGTTGCTCGGAGGATGTGGTCCTTCCATGAGAGGGAAGGGTCGAGCCAGACTCCCAGTACCCGGAGGGATGTAACCAATTCAGCTTGGTGTCCCTATACCTGGATCGTAGACCGGAGATCAGCGGAAATATTGCGTTTCTTAGTAAAGTGGATAATCTGGTACTTATCCGTGGCAAATTTAACCCCGAACCGTGACGCCCATTCTAGGCAGGTATCGTGGGCCGCAGTTAGTCGTTGGCAGTTAGCTACTTCCGTGTCTCCCCAGGTGACAAGTGTAGTATCATCAACGAACCCGAACCCGAGAACGTTACCCTGAACATCTTTAAATTGTTGCAGTAGGTCAGATATGAATAGGATAAATAGCGCGGGTGATAGGGTAGAGCCTTGCGGGATCCCAGTCTCCGTGTCGAACCAGCGGCTCTTAAAGTCCGAGAAGAGGATCCTTGTTCGCCGTCCGGTTAAGAAAGATGCAATCATCTGGATAATCCATTCGGGGTATCCCATCCGACGAAGGACCCAGAGCAGCCGGGGGTGAGAGACGTTATCAAAAGCTCCAGGAAGATCAAGCCCAAGTACAGATACTACAGACTTCTTTGCGTGCCACGCCGTCTGTATCGTCCCGGTAAGGAGTTCTAGGGCGGAGAGAGTAGATCTCTCCTTCCGAGCTCCCATTTGGTTCCAGGGAATCAGGTCTCGTGTTTCCGCTTCGGTGATCAGTCGATCTGCGAGAATTTTCTCAATTAGCTTTGCAACCGTGTTTTCAAGAGCAATAGGGCGGTAGCTGCTTGGAAGAGAGTAGTCCTTTTTCTTGTCCTTCCTTAGTACCACCGTGGTAGATTCCTTTAGAACTGCTGGCAGCTCCCCGTTTCGGAAGAGCGCGGTGACCGTCCGGGCAAGGTCTACGGCTAGGATATCAGAGGGGGCATGCAGTACCTCGTTCGGGATCATATCAGGCCCGGGGGCCTTCTGGTTCGGTAGCCGGCGGATAATCCGGGTGATCTCATCTGGGGTGACCTCTTGCCCGATATCGAATCGTGGAAACTGTTCGTTGGTTATGTCTTGGAGGTCAGCGGCACCGCTCCGTGGGAAGAACTTTGTGACTGCACCGTAAATTATTCACTTCTCGATGTACTTGCCGCTAAGAACAATTTCAAATACAATGCTCAACCACGACGGGAGATCATTCTTGCTGTCTCTTCAGATTTGACCGACTAACTACTAGTACCGTAGACCGAACGCCTGAAACCCCCACACCAGTTGCCGTTGTAGCCATGGAAGACTGACTAGAGTCAAGTGTGGCCTCGGTTACGCTCGAGACCTCGACCCAAAGTACATCGCTTATAGCTCTCTTAATGGAAGACGTCGAAACTGAGTGGGAGACGATTGCGACCGGTGAGGCTAGTCTGGTGGGACTCTGGGGTAGCTAGGCGATCCACATGCATTTCCCCAAGGTGAGGATCGGAAGTGGAGTGGAAGATGAACGATCATCAATGTAGCGCATACTACGGGATTGTACAGTATAAGGGGAAAATATATCAACATGAGAAGCCGAAGCGGATGGAGCGACTTCATGATGCTCCGTCTCAACGGTCGACTTGAGTTTGAGGGACATCCGCCTCGACAATGATACAGAATTCCAGCCAGGTTTCCCGTTTCCTGCATGATGTCATGACTCGTGTTGCTGCTATACAGAAGCCACCATGACTCATGTATCAAAGTTGGAGGCTGGAGGGTAGTCGCTGAATCAAAAGCACGCCTGACGCCTGGTGTCATGGAATAATCTAAATATAAATTATATAATAGGTGTGTCTTCAGATAGGAGGATACAATCCATTTTTGTTGGACGGTCTTTGGTCCACACGACACGACTTAGCTTTCGTTTAGCCGCCGTTCCGTGCGGGAAAGGAGGATCCCTTAGAAGGGAAACAACGCTTCAACAACTACTTGAAAAGAGAACGTGTAATTAGGAGTAATGTGAGGAAGTAGTAGGGTCCAAGGGCGTTTGTACGGAGCCATGCTCGAGATGGAACATGTATTATAGAGCGGTAGAGGAGAACAGTTCCACCACCACAGATCGAAGGAACCATGGACGATCACAACCGTGCAGCATAGGGGCAGTGGACCACGACCAGCAGGATGGTTAGGTGTCTACACGAACCTCCTCCCTAGACCCCCGGCCTCTTAACTCGGCTCCCAACCGTCCTTCCACAACTCACACACATCCTATCACCACATCACCAAGCACACAAACCAGTAAGCAAACCGATTATGAAATTCCTACCGGAACCCGGACACAGAGAAAAAAACTACCATACATTCATCACGCGCCCATCCCACGATTGGCGCGTTAAAGAGCGTGAATATCAAGTTCGTGAAAATCCCCGGGCTCGTCCATCGGTGCCGGTGAGGCGGCGTATGATGGGACCGGGGATGATGCGAGGACGGGAAGAGAAGGAAGGAAAGGGAGGAGAGGGGGAGGAAAAAGGAAAGGAAAGAAAAGAAAAGCCGTGAGGTTCATCCATCTGTCTGTCTGTCCGTCTGTCCATGGGCTCGTCATCTGAGCTCCATCTCTCCCCCCGTACTCGCAATCTGCTCTTCCCGTCCATTCTCCTGAGAAAACGAACCATACCCAGTCAATTTCATCCGAATAAAAATATCACGAAATCCATGCACCACTTCCATATCCCACTACCGCATCAACACGTCATGCCGCCATCTCTACACCTCCTCATCACTCGCATCTAGAATCTCATACTCCTCATCCGTCAAGAACCCCGACCCCTCACTCTCCGCCCCCACATCCACTAACTCCATCGTCAAGCTCTCCGCATCGTCGAAGAACTCCTCCTCATCCTCCACGCGCGCCGCCATCGGGTTCGCCGTGGTTGCCGATCCAGCCTCGGTTGTGGGCGCACCCGCTTGAGTCGCAGAGCTGCTCGCCTCGTCATCCAGAGCTAGCTCCAGGGGATCGCGGATCGCCGCATCGTGGCTGGTCGACGCGCTGGCAGACTCGTGCATGCTAGTGCTCGGGCTGCCGTCCTCCTGCAGCACGGGGAAAATCATCGCCTCCTTCGCCTTGCCCTTGCCCTTATCTGCATGCGGCGGCGCCTCCTCCAGAGCGGGAATCTCTCCCGGGAGGGCGAAGCCCGACTGTGGGAGCTGACGTCGACCCTCTCGCGTCGTCAAGAGGTCTGCCTCCGTCGGCCTGCGCAGGGTGGCGGACGGCGACTTGGGTGCCCACGACGGAAGGGGCTCGTTGACGTCCTCGATGTGCTTAGCTTCGTGGACCATGGGGGGCGGGGGCGGGTGGATCATCTTCCCGATGTAGCGCTCTGAGATGGATTCATGCTTATTGAACATGAAAGGGTGTGAGCGGTGGTTGCGGGGCGAGGAGGCACCGGCGGTGGCTTGGGGTGCGGGAGGGACGCCGTGGGGGAAAGAGCGGGCGAGGTAGGGCATCTGAGGAGGAGGCGCGGGGGTTGCAGCGCTGGGTGGGGAAGGACGGTAGGACTGCATAACGTCTTGGATAATGCGCTCCTCAAGCTTGCGTGCTTCTTCATCCAAGCGTGCGTCTTTAGCCTTGCGTGCTTCTTCCGCTTTGACTGCCATTTCCGACTTGCGATCCTCGGCATCCTGTCGAGCCTCTTTCGCCTTCTGCGCCTCTTGCTCCATGCGGGCCATATGCAGACGACGCTTATTCTGCTGGTCCAGCAACATCAACTGCATATTGTAGTCGTGAAGGGCATCCTGGGATGTGGTCGAGCCAAATTTCGGGGGAGGCTGTGGTGCCGACGGCTCGGTCGCCGGTTTCATGAGATCTTTCTTTTGCTGAAGCACCCGGTTGGCCTGCTCTTGCTGCTCCTTCAGCGAGGTGAGGCGTGACTGGTAGTCGTCGATCATGCCGGGGGTGTGTTGAGAACCCATCCGCGACACCAGGTGCTGTTGACGCATGGCGTGAGCACGCTGTTGCAGGCGCAGCTGCTCACGGTGGCGGTCGCTCGGGAACGGCGGAGGCGGGGGGTTGGTGCTGGGTCCGGGAACGAACGACGCAGGCATGTATGGGATGGTGGGATATACGTTGGCCATGGTGTTGTGTGGAATCTTCGGCGCCGGAGGAGGAGGGGGTGGTGCTTGTCCATGGACCTCGGGGACGTATCGGTACGGGTTCGGGACGCCGTCGAGGCGGAGCGGCATGGAAGCGCGCTTGTTCAGATGCGGGGTGGTGCCCAAAAAGTCCGTCATACATTTCTGCTCTGGGGTCTCCTCGACGACTTTGATGTGGCACCATAGACGGTGACCGAAAGGTGTGCCGTCAGGGGCCTTGAGACGCCAGTAGGAGATGGCGGTACCGACACGAGCGGGTGCCTTCATGCAGACGCGGAAGGCGAACTTCTGGCCGACCTCGACGGGAGCATGGACGACGTTGCTTTCAGTGGTCTGCTCGTAGTTTTGGAGAGAAAGGGTAAGTTCGCTTTCCATGGCGAGCATGTTGTCGCCCCCAACGTATCGGACACGGCATCCAGCGGGCCAGCGGATCGGGCCGGGGTTAAGAATGGTCCAAACCTGGAGGAATCGTCGGCCAGCCACCATCTTGCTGCCATCGGTGACAAGGTCATGAAGGAAGTGGGCGTTCAGATCACCGTACTGTGTGGCGGTTCCAACCGAGGCCGGGACGCTGGCCGGAGGTGGGGGAGGCACTGTCTTTTGCTCAGCCTTGTCCTGCTCTTGTGGAGCGGACAGAAGGTCCTGGATCTTGATCTTCTCATTAATAGGCTCAGTCAGAAGGTCTTTGATCTCGATCTTCTCCTTCGGTGGGGAGCGCGGAGCGGCGGATGCCTCCGTCGGCTTCAGATCAGCGATGGTCAGCACCGGGGAAACCTCGCTCTGAACGGACGGCAAAGTGGAGGCGCGAGCTTGGGCATCGCCCATGGTGGTGGACGACCCATCCCGGTTCTCACCCATGGTAGTCACACTGACGTTGTGGACCGGAGTCTTGAGCATGATCAAAGGATGAGTTCGGTTGTGCTTGTTGCCTGGAGAAGCCTCGCAGTTGGAACAGAAATCCGTGTCATGGCAAATGGCACACTTGTAGCGAGTTCCGTAGATGTACTGTTGACCAGGCTTGTCGTTGTTGCAGAGTGGTCCATCACAGAAGATGCCGTAGTGAGATACCGGCATAGTCCGAGGTTCTGGAAGGGGATCGTAGATTGGCACAAATCGGTGGCCGGGATGGATCTCCTTGGCGCTCTTGATGCAGGTGTCGCAGTAGTCCCAATCCGGGCAATTCAAGCACTTGTGGCGAACGCCATGGATGTACTAGGTCTTTGTCAGCGTTTGGTCCAGACTGGTGTTTCACGGTCACATACCAGGTCACAGCCATCACAGATGGCGGAGTGGGTGGCATTACGGCACAAGATCTTGTCGGAGATCTGCATGTATGTGTTCGAAGTCGCTCCCTCGAACGCATGTGCGGGATGATGACCGTGTTTGCCACCTCTCAGGCACTGGAAGCAAAGATCAAAATCATCGCAGGTAGTGCAGTGCACGAAGTTCTCCTCGGGGAAGACTGCAGGTAGGTTAATGACGCTGCCTGTTCGGTCTAAGAAAGGAAAACTTACTTCGAACGCACGAGTTGCAAGTGCGGGAAGGGTGTTTGACAGCGGAGGTCCATTTGATCTCTTCCTGGTAAGATCCAGGCATCCTCTGCAGAGACGCCTTCTCGGCCTTGGGTTGGGTAGCTTCAACCTTCTCAGCCTTGGGTAGGGCGACTTCAGCCTTCTCCACTTTGACTTCACGAGCTTTCTCGACCTTGACCTCGGTCTTCTCCTGGGACTCCACCTTGATTTCCGGAGCATCGGTGTCCTTGGACTTGGGTGCAATGCGTTCAGTAGTGCTGCTTAGCACTGCTCCATTCTTGACGACACGCTTGATGAGCCAGTGGCCTTCACCGGGACAATGAACGCCGGCATCGACGCAGTGGGCGCAGAGGTCGTAGTCACCCTCGTCGCAGATACTGCAATGGTAATGTTCGCCAGACATGGGCTTATCGCAGCTGTTGCAATATACGGTCCAGTTGCACGCCAGGGCCCATTTGCATTTCTTCTCAGGCTCCGGAAGGTTTGTGGATTCTAGAACTGGATTAGCTCTTATCATTGGAGTGTAGACCCGAAGACATACCTTGTTCATCCGAGAACGGATCAGGAGTTGGAGGCTCGGGTTCACCGACCACGTCTTTCACGTTGGTGTTATCCGAGGCCTTCGAGCTGGCATCAATGCCTTGGAGGACGGACTTGAACTGCTCGATCAAAGTGGTCTCGGATGGGTTCGACATCGGGATCGGATCACCACCTTGGGCGGTGGAAACAGGAGGCGCCTTGGTTGGGGGACCCGATATGGGATCCGCGAGAGTGGAGCCATTGGCAATCGAGGCCGACGCGGTCGGGTTGTTGGCATTATCTTCAGGCATGGTTGCACGAAGTCGGAGTTTCAGCTTCGCCTTCGCAGCGCGAAGTAAGGACCTATATGCATGGAGGTTGTTGGGGTCCAGGCGGATGTGAGACTGCGAGCTGTCGGAGAAGCGCTCGAAGATGACGTCTGAGTCGGCTGGGATGTTGAGAGCGGCTCGTAGCTAAAAGAAGAATGACCAAGATTAGCAACCGGTTTGGCTTTGGAATGGAAATCGAAGTGGTGATAAGGGTGAGGTGTTCGTTGGTTGTGGTACAAGTGATACATGAGGGGATTGAGGTGCATCGTATGGGCAAACGCCCAGCTGTACCCAGCTCCCGCACTCCGTTCACGCATCCATAGCAAGGTGCAGAGGGCGGAGAGTGGGAGCGAGGCTAATGCGGAGAGCTTCATCTAAGTAAACAGGGGACGTACCTTCGCGGGGAGCCTGTCCGGACCCAGATCGGTGAAGGCGAGCTTCAGTCGAACATGTCGTCCGTGATGGAGGACCTTGATGGCGATGAGAGTGCTGGATGAGAAAGGCGCTGGGACGGCCGTGCTGCTCGCCATGATGGACGGCAGCCGTGTTGCAGCCTAGCGGTGACGGTGTCGGCTGTGGTGGGAAGTTGATGCTCTCACGACTTCAACGGAAGAGAGAAGTGATTTGCTAGGGAAGGGAAACGAGGAACAAGTAGCCTTACTGTAAACGAAGGATGTAACAGCAGACGAGGTTTAGGTGATAAGGGAGCTGGTATGGAGGAGACGGTAGGGTGAGAAGGTTGTAGTAGAGGGGGAAGAGAGGGAGAGAGGAAGACAGAAGAGGGAGAGTGAGAAGTAGTGAGGAGGGAGATAGATTGGTGATTGGAGTGATGGGGAGCGGGGGAAGCTGATGGTTTGGGGTGAGGAGAGCTGCTGAGTTCCGTGAGCTGCGACGAAGGGAGACACCTGAGCGGAATGATGGGCGATGATGACTGGATGTCGATGCTGGACGCTGGAAGTTTGGGGTTCAATCAAGGAGACACCGGAAGAGCCTGGATGCCGTCGCCTGCTTTACCGTATCATTTAATTCCTGGATTTGTTACTATAGTAGTCGAGGTACAGGATACACGCCAGCTTTAAGTCCCACGGCAGCCTGGAGTTGCTATTCCTAACACGAATCCAGTCACCTCTGAATTCTGATGGTTCCGTGGTCACGGTGTACCAATTTCCTCCCCGTCTTGTGAAGCACCTGTTGGCTCCTTGTAGCAAACAGAGGAGCTATCACTCTTTCACTTTCCGGTGTTGCTTATTCCGCCTCTCATTACGAATCGTATTTTTGCCTCTCATTGCGTTTCCCTACTGCCTACGCCCTAATACTACCATGTACTCCATCCACTGACCGACTTGAATGGAGGCCTGTGCCACCTTATCTCCGTGATCCGGTGACCCATCCACCGGCTCCAGCCCATTCTAGATCTCTCAGCTTCTCCTTGAATGAGATCTGAGAAGCCGTGAACTGAGATAGAACCTTGGATTCTGATCCAGCTCGAAGTATTCTTGTTCGGTACCTCGTTCAGGTCATCCACAAGTTCGGTGGTTGGACGCGCGGGACTGGTCGTCCCGTACTTTGGCCTCGCGCACCTGGACATCGGATTACCAGCGATGAGGTCAGGCTGGGCGGTGGAGATGGTAGTACCGGGCTTCCGTATTAAGGAATAAACAGGCTACAAATCGCTTCTTGATATCCTTACTTGAAGGAAGTAGCCTTACTCCAGAGCCCAGACAAAGTCGTCAAGGGAGGGATGAAAAGTTATGAAACACCACCAGAGCTCGCATAAGCGGCACAGTACTAATATGTAGGCAACCGCCCGCACTCCCCCTGTCGATTATCCTGCCGCCATATAGAAGCATACCCACCAACCCCGCCGCCTCACTCACCCTCCAGCTCAGCAACTTCAGCCGATCGCTCAGGTTTGTCCCGACCCTGACACGTTCACGGTCTCGCCAGTTGCCGCCTTTGCGGTGGTGACGACATCCAGGTACGGCTAGGTGCTAACACTGCACAGCACGATCGCCTGGTGTCGTGATTGGTGGGTCGATAGTAGTCCCAGATGAGGATGTGGGATGCGTCTCGCGATGGTGACGCGGGGTGGGGTCTGGGGAGGAGTGGCATGTTCATGAGGGAAAAGTTGAGGCACGGGGAGGTTCGTGGTTGGTGAGTCGAGAGGAAGAATTCCGGGAGAAACCGACGGAGAGCGGTATGAGACGGGGTACTTGTATTCGATGTGGATTGGATGCAGTTCACTCGTTCGCTATGGTCGTGTACCTGTACAATGAGACGCGTATTCATTTGGTATGCCTTGCTACACGCGAGCTAAGCTCGCGACCAGGATACCTCTGTCGTAATAAAGTCCGTCCCCAACATTAAGTCCATGCAGTCTGCATATGTTGAGTCTCTTGGCAATCAGTACTAATATCGCGTCCCCTTCCGCATTGTATTTGCCTCCCGGGTTCCTATCTCATAACTAAAAAGACTCATGCCGCCAAGGCCGTTCCGCCACCCCGCCGACTCCATGCCGCCGCTTATCGCCGCCGCCGCTCCCACTTCGAAGCCGCACAACAGCGACAAACGACTCACTGCGGCCCGCTCGTTCGCCGTGTCGGATGTGCCGCTCTACGGCAAGGTGGAGTGCGACAGCGGAAGATCGCGCGTGGATGAGGGGCGGGAGATCGGGCGGCGTGGGACTGGGTAAGGAGTACGAAAAGAGCTCGGTAAAGATGGAAGCTGGAACTGGAGAGTAGAGGGGCGAAGAAAAGAGTCCGATGCATCCTGTGCTGGAGACGAACAATTTCTAGCCGTTTGTTCCGTACGTGGCCGCGTCGGGTGGAAGATGTTGCTGACTGGATCAGTGCGGGTATGGACGACTGGTCGAAGGGAGGAAGCATCCCGGGAGTCGGACGTAGAGAGTCTCTCCGTCTTGTTCCTAATTAAGGAAATCGGCTCTCGCTAGAATTCCGGAGAAGATATTGGGCCGGCGAGAGATGCGTGGTTGGTGTCGAAACCGTCCGACGCCATATCTAATGGATATTCATGCTCCAATGTTGACAGACGGCATCTAGAGACTCCGCGAATGGGTTAGTACTGCGGTCCCATGGCATCCATCCGAGAGGATGTCGAACCGATCGTAGCGGGATAAATCGTCGGTGTGGTTAGTTCGGCGCCATTTGAGCACCGCGGCTCTGGACTTGCGAGTTCTATACCTACATATCAATCCACATTCAATCGAATATGTCCAATTGTCCTCTGATTCAAAGCGCGTACATAGGACGCCAAGAATGGCTCCGAAGTTGGATCTTTGCTCGCAGGCCTTCCTTCACTCCCCTCATCTTTCTTGACCCGAATCAGAAAGCTTAAACTAGAGTCAAAGGCTACCGTGGTGGATCTTCGGTCTTCTGTTCTGCTACTTCGATGAGCTATCCACTCAGTCAGTCTGTACACTAGGCTCGTACGTCGCCCTACTGTCGGACAGATTCCATAACTGCTGCGGCTCGGACTTGTGAATATCAGGACCACTGTCCTGGATCGAGGGGAGGACATGGGAGTCCGTCAAACAACCCACCGACACCGTTTCCCCTGCTCTCGCCTCTCCAGAGGTCCAGTCGCGCCGCACTCATCGATAACTCTCCCTCATCGAACGGGAGACGCCGAGAAATAAATTGTTGCCCCAATGCCCCCGACCCCTGAGAGGCTACTGATGATTCCTCTCAGTGAACGCGAAGCCCCTGAGCTTTTCCGAGTTAGCACAAGTGGCGCTCTGAGCATCGGACGTGCGACGGAGAAATCAACGGTCGGATGCATGGATGGCCCTGAAATCTTTCTGGATATCAGTCAGTGGTGGCTGGACTTGATGTATACGCCGGTCGCAATGGCCAGGGAAACACTCCTCCTCTCCGCGTGAATCCAGGGAGCTTCTCGGCGCGACGGTGGGCGATGTTGAGTGAGTGGTATGATGCGGTTAGGTTAATGAAGAGGGAAGACTTATGAGGTCATTGACGGTGCTCTATCTGCTAAGTGTTCGTCGCGTTGATGTAAAGTATGGATTTGAGCACGAAAACGGGTCATAACCACAAGACTAGAGCCTCTTCTTCCGCAGATCGGATCATTGAAGTAAAGGAGGCTCAAAGGGACATGGAAGTCTACTGTGATGAATCTACCCAACCAAGTTCAATCCCCAAAAGGGACGCTCCCCCCTAGGAATCTAGAAGAAGGGTAGAAATAGTAAGGGTCGACATACTGTATCCTTCAAGATCAAACTCAGCCCAGTAGAGCTTCCTGTACCTTATGCTACCTGTTTCTCAGTAAGAGAGTCACTCTGGTTAACAAATTCACCCATCCTCCCAACATCATATGCCCAAACAATGCGCATGTGAACCTCCTCCCATTCACTCTCCAACACACGGCCCGACACACACCCATATCATCCATCAACAGTTAATTCTAGTAATATACAGGCCTGTGGCCTGGTTGGGAACCATGTGAGTGTGACCTCTATATACTTGATGAAGTCTCACATGTACCTCTAGAGGTTGGTCAACTCCTAAGAGAGGGTCCCTCCCCCCTAGATGTGGAGGGGCCACTCCTTGGATGGGGTTGTTTGCAGGCACAAGAGTACTTTGAAGGCTTAGTTGGTAGCCTGTACGCCGCCCTCAGAGGAGCCCAGTGGGGTGTTGGACTTTGTTCCCTTTTTGGTAGGTGGTGGGTTCGAGTCTGGTTGATGGAATTGGCGTTCTGCCCTTTCTTTTTTGCTAGAGATGTGCGTATAATCTTTAACCTCTTTTATGTCCTTGAAGATATAGGGCCTCCTACTTCCCTAGTAGGAACTAGTTATTAAGTATTGAGATTAGTAACTAGACTAAATTTCACTTAATAGTTCAGCAGATATTATCAATGAGTCTTCTTGATTCCTCTGTATATCAGCCGCTCCACGAGAGCTATCGAGTATCTAAGAAGAAACGATTTCGACTATCCCTCATTGCCAGTTAGGAGCTGACATCTCAACACCTCTCCAGCACTCGATGAACTCCAGGGAAAACCCGATCACCTCCCTCACGAGACAACCAGCCAGCAGCAAAACCACCGCCACCTCAACCGCCATCCACCGCCCCAAAAATGCTTTTTCGGTGTTTTGAATCCCGGCACACCACTCATCCACGAGACGATGCCAGGGATAGAAGGGAATTAGAAAAGGTAACATGAATGTGATGTGCGTCGAAAACGGAACACAGATAATTGCGCGGCTCTCAGAAGAGATGGGAAACGCCACGTGAGAAAGACAGAAGCAAGGAAGGGAACGCAAATGACAATCCAAGACGCTCGAACCCGCTGTGCGAAGAATCATCAAACTAATAAAACCGATTGCCGACGCGCCGGTTTGTAAAACAGATGGGGGTGATCAGACATATATTTGAAGGATGGAAGGGGGATTGAAGTTCAAACGCTGCTGAAAGGCAGACATGACGTGCATCCCGTAAACCCAGCCGCAAGAACTCAATCCCATAACAGCCCACGCATGCAAGACAAGACTCATGAATCGGAGAGCCACGCGAAAGATATCCCCAGAACGTCCGATATTACTGCTGTGGATAATATCCGGACATTCCAGCCATCTGCGGGTAGTAATACCCATCCGGACTCGGAGTCATCATCCCTCCCATCCCAGGCATGGTGTATCCGCCGCTATACTGGCCCATCTGCGCCGGCATCTGCGCCGGCATCTGCGCCGGCGATGGATATGCCTCGCCGCCTTCCATCGGCTGGTAGTACTGGTTCGGATCGTAATAGTACACCATCCCGTTCGCCTCCTGCGCCACCAAGTTGCCCTGGGCGGCCTGGAGAGCGGTGGGGTCGCTGGACGATAAACCGGCTTGACCGTTGTGGGGTGGGTTGGCGCCCTGAGCGACTTGTGGGGGTGCGGTGGTGATGGTCGGGACGACGATGGTGCCAGCCTGGCCGTTCGGGACGAACATGGGAGCGATGACGGCGCCGCTTGGGAGGGCGGCGGTGTATTGGTTTTGGGGTTGCGGGGGATAGTAGTAGCCGGGGGGGTTGGCATAGGGCGGTTGGAAAGTTTGTGGGTAGGGTTGGAAGGCGGGAGCGTGGATGGCACGCTCGGGAATGTTGGAGAGAGGAGTGCCGCTGGCAGATTGTTGGCTGTTTGGATAGGAGTGTTGGCGGACGAGCGGGTGGTAATATTGTCCGGAGAGGTCGGGCTGGTTGAGGTTGGGTGGAGCGCCGTTGACGTGCCCGGGAACTTGGTGATGGAAAGCGAACTGCTCTTGTTGGGCAACATGTTGCATTGCTCCGGATACCGAAGCAGGTGACTCGATTCCAGCAACGGATACGGTCTTCTGTGGACGAGGTTGGTGCATGGTGATCGGAGCTTGCCAATTCTCACGCTGTGGTTTCTGCGGCAGCGGGTATGGGGGTGGAGGTGGCATTCCGATGACGGGTGTTCCCGCTCCGGACATCGTGGGTGTATGCTGCTGTGAGCCCGGGAGTCGCACGACGGGCCGATTATTATTGTATCCTGGAACACCAGGCCTCGAGAGCACAGAGCCCGTCGGCGAGCCGATACTTTCTCGACCGATTTCACGGGCAAGTGACGATCTTCTGCTCATAGCAATGCTAGGTGAATAAACGCTTCCACCATAGGCACTTGTCCGTCTGCTAGAATACCCTCCGAACGGTCCAACAGGCCCTCTGCCACGGCCTCTTCCAAATCCTTGTTGGTTTGGCCGCAATGCTCGAGGAATGAATATAAAGGATCGATCGGTCGACGGGAAGATATATCGGGGTGGATGATCGGGCAATGATATTCTAACGGGTTTGTCCCGTCGTAGTGGTGGTCGATGATTGGGAAGTCTAGTGTGGGATTTGACAGGAACGCCAGAGAAAACGATGGGTGCATTCATTCCAGAAAGGAACACTCGTACTTGGACGTTCCCAATCTGAACGGTTTGTGAGAAGGTGCGATTGACGGGAGTAGAAGGAGCTTTCGGGATGCTGGTGACGGCGGTGGGTGGCTGCGCTGCAGTCTCTGCAGGAGCGAGTTGGTAGGGAGGATGGTGTTGCGTAGGTTGTGGTTTGGGAGCTGGCTGTTGGAGAGTTTCGTGGAGGTCGTGAGTCCAAGGAGAATCGGTTGGGTTGGAGGATTGGGCGCCGAAACTATTGTTGTTAGAGCAAGTTCGGAGATACTTGAACGGGGTACTCACTTTGCTGGTGAGAATGGCCCTCCGATACGCCCCCTTCCCCGGCCTCGACCATAGGGTCTGAATCCCGCATGGCCTGCAACTGACCGATGATCATGCATAAAGAATGTACCTCGGTTTGGTATAAAGGCCGGATCACTGGCCTTCTTTGAGTTGTAGTCCTCCTGTTCCCGTCTCCTTCTCTCTGCCACCGACTCTTGCCGTCCACTCAACGCTTGAGGTTCGGATACCCGCACCGTTGAAGCCGCCGATCCCATCGAGGGGCCATGAAATTCAGCGGCTTCTTCCGGTCTAGGATTCTCAGAAACGCTGAGCCCGTTCATCATGGCCTCCATATCCGCCGTTTGACCAAACTTCGGACCATCCCCAACGTCCGGTGCAGGCTTAACTGCACCATCCGATTGTTTCGAGGGCTTCGGCGTTTTGGTGACACCGTTTTGTTTCTTCGGAGATCGTGACTTCGATGGTTTTTCAGCGCCTTGAGAGTCACTCAGATCGCTATCATCTGCTTCCGCATCTTGATCGACATCACTGGGAACGGAGGCTTCGCTCGCAGAGTCATCAATATGTTCGGTAATAACGGAACCTTCCTCCTCGCCCTCTTCGTCAAGACGTCTGCGGCTGCTGAGGAGGTTGTTCCGTCGGTGCTGCGGCATCGCTTGAGTCTGAAGACGTTGGTTGGAGGACTGCGGAGGACGAATCTGGGTTGATCTCGGAGTAGAGGGACAACCAATACGTCGTTAGGTAAGCTGGGCAAGGCCGACACAAGGAGAATCGGAAGGAGGGGAATGGATTGTAACCGCAAGATGTCGTGATGGATGGGATGTAGAGATAAGGCAGCGGGCTGAAGATTGAAGCGGCAGAATTAATGGGAAATATAATGTCGTGATGTTGAGATAATTAAAGAAAAGAACGGTCTGATGCCTGACAAAATCGGCATCGTCACCACACGTGTGAAACTATGGATGAGATGCGGAATATCCGTGGCGCTCTTGGCATTGGAGTGATTGACCAGGGGCCAATATCATGCCTGAGGCTCATATAATTCTTAAGGCAGAAACTGCTTTTCATATTATCCATCCCAACTTCAGGCCACGGATAGTTAGTTAACTGCACACCGAGACACTTACATACTACACACTCGCAATACCGTACTACCGCAATTACAATTCATTCAGATGGGCTATATATCCCATACTGGCTTACACCAATGCTTAACTCTGTTCTTAGATACCATTCTGCTCGCAGAATAATGCTTTCTACATTCTCAGTCTACACCGCTTCCCAACTGTTTCTCAGGTGCCATGTCTCAAGCAAGTGCCTTGTAGTATGTGGATGCTTTGTCATATGTTTGCATTCATTTAGGCCTAGAGTTTGGAATTAGATCTCTAAAGTCTGTTTCGTAGGGGAAGTAAGTCATCAGCACCTTGCTTCATCTAGATGCTCGTTCATGTCTTGGTTCATGGTTTCGTTTCTATCTGGACGTATCCCGAACCGTTTTCAAAGTTTATCTTGTCCATGAAGACTTCTTTGTCATTTCGAATTGGCCAGTGCTGCCTGTAATGATTTCTCCGCAGGGTGGGCAACTCATCTTAGCAATTCTGTAACACTTTGACCTCTTCCAGCCCATCTCCCTACTTGGCATTCAACTCACAGTCAATGGCCCTTCTATTGATAAATATCAGTTGTTACTTCTACAATAGATCGCTGGTTGAGAGATATCTAACTTCAGGCCTCGATCACCATCCACCAACACGACGAAATGTAAGGCCGTATAATATCTGCGTCCTTATGCCACCTGAAGAAATTAAATTGTGGTGAAGAGAGCAGATGTATATCATCTTTCCTCATATCCTCATCCATGGAATCCAGCTCGTCAAGGCACTACACAAAACTGCCAGAGACATGCAAATTGGCATATGTGCCAACGCAAGTTTCTCTATGTTCGTTGGTGAGTCGGATTGCAACAATCCCGTTGCTACTATCCCTATTGCTATGAAATGCCAGTGCCACTTATTCCGCTCTCTATAGCGTTTGCTGAGCATTGCAATAGTTAAACCGAAGATGACTATTGCGATCACCAAATATACTGGCGATAGACGCTTCAGGCATAGGTGGCATAAATATTGCCGAACGTTTGGAATCGGCTGGGTGTATGAACTGGCTGAGTCCTGTCAGAAGTCAGCCATCTTTGCTGTTTGGACATAGAATTGCGAAACTAATCCATGCTTACCTCTAGTAGACTTCCTCCAAGGCTTGTCTGGATGTACGGGAGACAGGATACAGGGAAAGGTCCACAAGGACATTCTTCCAGCTCAATGGGAGAGTCTTCCCACGCCTCCTGTGGACTCGTTATCTTCGTTTGCTTGTATCGTGCCAGTGCCGTCTCCGAATTTAACAGCGAGATCGAACCGAGTACAACGCCGGCAACCTCGACTGCGTCCATGAGAGTGTCAGATTTATCCACTGCATTTTGTCAGAGCGTTTCTTCGCCAGCGATTGCACTCTCCGTAGAGCCTATGGATTTGACTTACATTAAACCCTAATGCTGTCTTCTGGCCGTTCATTTCATTGATCCTGTTTACTCTAAGGCATCAAGTTTCAATACGTTGCGATGTGGAGCCGAGATCGGGATGTTCAAAATCTAGAAGTCTGAGCCAAAAGTCACTTCAAGTTGGAACGTAGTAGCCGAAAATATTGCCACAAGGGAACAGGTCGAGTTTTTATACTACGAATAGCACGGACGTGGCCTGAAAACCAATCCGGTAAACTTTTCACTTTCAATCCTCATAGCCTTGGGCCACTATGCTGCTGAAATGAGGCGTTCAATCACACCGGTAAACCGCATTCAGCACGCAAATACCACGACGTGGCAGCTTACAACCCAATGAGCCTTTTGCACAGCCCATCAGCCTGATTCTCGTTATGGAAAATTGAGGAATAATAACAATCGGGCTATCCGCGGGGTTTTGCCTTGATCTGGGTCCGAGTCTCGCATCGGTTGAGCAACACCAGTACTAAAGCCTCGTCCCGCAGCCACGCATTCGCAAATAAGAATCTATACCCTGACCTCCCTATCATGAAACTCCGGCATCTCTGATTTTTCGGATTTGCGATCAGTGCTAGTTGCGGTGCCCTCCTCGTCCAGCCTGAGATTGAGAACGGCCGAACCGGGTATTAAAAAGGCCACGTCTGCTCCCCGATTCATGAATTAAGGGAGGTAGACCACACCGACTTGGAGGTCTCTTTGTTGCAGCTGCTATCAAGATGGCCGGAATTCGCTCCGCCGGCATAAGACCTGCGTAAGTCTCATTCTGGACTTGATGTCTCCCCCTTGATATTCAAATCGAGTTACTCGGGATGCTTCGGTTCACCGACTAACAATTTTAATAGCCTACACTCCAAATACCCGCTGCTGGAGGCAGGACAGCCGGGGCTACGAAATGGGAACGTGGAAAGCGGTGCTCCTCCAGTGAACCAGTGGATCAGCCTTGAAGTCCCTTGGCAAACATTTAAACGGACGAGAACAGATACTCCAGATCAGACGAGCCACCCTACCGGACCACCAAGATCAATCCAAGGTTCCAAAACAAGTAATGCACACACCAGCTCCAGGTTGACGATAGGGAACCGTTCAAATCGCATCCCTGCTCCTGCTCAAGTCGCCACTGAAACAATTGATACTTCCGTCACACTCATCACAACCCCTAAATCTATCGGTTCAACAGAGGGCCAAATTCCACCAGGACTACTCCGACAACCGCCTTCCAGGCCAATCAGTCCAGAGCAATTGGCTGCTGAGGTTATATCTCTATATACTGGGTTGATCATGGTTGAGTCGAAGTGTATCCACGCCGTCCAAACCCTGACTCTGTTGATAGAGCACACTGGCGGCCGAGATCTACCAACCGACGAGTGGGAGGCCGTGATCGCGCTTCGTCGGAAGTTCCTTCATGAACACCATGATTTCTTTTTGGCATCTGAACATCCTTCTGCAAGTCCCGCTTTACGTCAATTAGCAGCTAAATACTCTGTGCCGGCAAGAATGTGGAGACGTGGAATCCATTCCTCCCTGGAGTTGCTCCGCTACCAGCTTCCGGACCCTTTGGAGTATATGTTAGCCTTCATTTACCTTGCTGACCAGATAATGGGATTACTGCTAGGTGGGACAGTACCGTCCTTCCATGTTCCCCGTGGCGTATCGTCGAGCATTACACCCCTCTCCCCCTTAACCACCAAAACAAGATCACACCCCGACTTCCTACCTCCCGCAAAAAAAAACGACAGCGTGCTAGTATCGCCGACACCGGGCCTGCAACGCAAGTTTCTTCCAAGTCCTGCCAGTCGCAACCTGGTCCGCTGTTTGGCACTCATAATGTTGGCTCAGACCACAACGGCGATGCCCTTTCGAGATGTTGGCTCGACTTCTGACGCATTGGGGACAATGGGTTCTTGCCTGGTGGCAATCGGCTTCGGATGTGCCACTCTGGGGCTGAATTTGGCGTGCATCCTCTCTCTGACTTTGGCGGGCGGACTTGCACTCATTAGACAGGACTCTCGAACATCACCAGAATTATTAATCGGTGCTTACATCATCTACATCGCGGCGGCTGCGACGCAATCGTGCTTGACCTTCATGAAGAAAGAGCATGGGAAGCTGGGATTTCTCTTGACGCTGACCTGCTCCGTTATATTAACGGAGATTGACAGGTTGATCGAGCAGAGAGAGGCTGGAGATAAATTCATGTCGAACTTTCCAATGGCGTACAGCTTCTGTGTGCTCATCGCAGCGCATACGAGCGAGTTCAAAAAATTTGCTCGGGCGTGTTGGTGCTCTGTTGGGGATTGCTTTATTGGTGTTGGAAACTGGAGAAGAGCACAAGTGGTTGAACGGCTCACTTACGGCCCCAACTTTGTCTAGCGTTTCTTCATCTGACATACAAGCCTCTGGATGACAAAGTAGTGGGCTTTGAGCTCACGTTACACCATTGGATATCCTTGAAAGACTTTCAACCCCCCCTTCCTAAAAACCCCTCGATACAGGTGTTCTATGCAGGACAACCCCGTACAGAGCGCCGAATAAGGACTGCAACATATCGGTTGAACGAGAACCGTGAAAGGTCTAGGTGAACACCTGGTGGTGAGGTGGCAACGTCTCCGATCCCTTGGAATGGAGATAGAGATTACGAATAGGGGATTTGTGTTCATGCTCACTATGTGTGTGTGTTCTGACATCCCCTTAATATATTGCCAACGTTTGAATGGCATTACGAGGCTTTTTCAAGGAGCGAATCCATTGCGACCGATAGGACTCAATATCCGTTCTGAAGAATGAAGCGAAGTGAATCATGTTCATCATGCTCACTTAATCGACATCACAATGTATACATGAGCATCATCATGTTCACATGAGTGAGTTTACGCAGGTTGTTCCCGTGCGGAACACCAATGTTTAACGACTCCTCATGATGTGTCGAACTTTTCTTCATGACCATTATCCGAGAAATTTCTAAACTTCGCTTGGAGTTCCCCAACCAAGTAATATAAAATTGAAACCCTCAGACTCCTTTGGCTCTAGTAGTTCATCACTGCTTCGATTCTGATATAATGCTAACCCTTAAGCCCTAGTACCTTACAATTGTTTCCTAACCCTCGTCCTTGCATATTTCAGTGGATTTCTTTCACCCAGTGAGAATATCCATCAGAGTTTTCATATCTCAAATCGCCATATTGAACGGAAGAGTCACGATGAAGACCTTGCACAAGTGGAAGATAGGATCGCAATACCATTCGGACGTCCGGCGGAGATATCTGGCCGCCAGGTCCCAGAGAACGTGACATCTAGGATCAAGGTACCCTAGATTGACTGGAACTATACGATCGACAGAGGCGCTCGACTCGATTATTGCTGTGGAATGGAACGCAGTGATATGGACGCGGCTCATGCCTGGAGCGTATTACCCAACTTCGGTTACCCGATGAGATTGTAGAGCCAGTTTGGGCTGTACGACCAAATGGACGATTACGGTTGGAACAGTAGCGACCATCCTCGGGGAAACATTGAGGCAGTGCGGAAGCATATCAGGGAGGCGACGGGGTACTTGGGCGAACTGGATAGTACGACGGCGGGGAAACAGACGGCACATCTTCGGCAGAGCACGATCAAGTATTATGAGCAGAGAAAGACGGTCGAGGTATGATGGGGCAGAAAGGTTTTGGACAAGATGCGACTGACAATGTCCAGCCGACAGAAGCCGTGTTACATGCGCTCTACGATTGCGAACGGGGATTTATCATGTCGATCTATAAGAAACGGGCGCGCTCGGCAGCGCCGTCTGATTGGACCAAAGCCCAGTTTCCTTCATTACATACCATGTCGGATGTTCTCTTCCTGGAGTGGGAGAAGCAATGCCGCGGCGTTGTGCCTAGCAAGAAGAACTTGAACTAGTGGGTGGAGTTCGACATCAGTGACGTAGATACACTGAGCACCATTACGCGAGTATTGAAAGAGAATGGGGGGGCCCTCTTGGGAAAGGGGGGGCGCAAGTATCTCTATCACCAGAATCTACAAAAAATCAGAAGTGCTTCCACGCCTTGTTGGGGCCAAACTACGGCATGTCAGCGGGGGGTTCCTCGGCTAACATAAAGGCGGCCTAGGCGTGAAACAGACCAGCATGATCTACGTGTTCAAGCACCACGCCGGTCCGACATATCTGATCATCTACAAAATCAATGATGCTCCCGGAAACGGGGGGATCTGTGCTGGGCCAACCCAGCCGATCAGGACGGGTATCGTCGATTCAACAAAAACATCCTGCGTGCCCCGGATCAGGGGATGTGGGGGAAAGCCCTAGAGAAGGGCAACCAGATGATGGAGAACTTTCCGAAGCCAGTGGAGGAGTTGGACCAGTTTTGTTGGCCGCCGAACCCCGTAACGGGGGAAGAGAAAAGGTCGCAGAGCCAGAACGTCGAGATCGCGGACTTGTCGCAGTGGGGATGGGTGATGGAGGAGTACCCCAGCTGGTTCATCGATGTTGGCGAGATGGATGAGAACTTTGACGGGTTGGGCATCGACGTGTACATTCCGGATGGCAACGAGGCGGGCGAGGCTGCGTATTTTGGCTGGTACGCAGGGGAGACGACTCAAATAGGGGGATTGGATTTGGGTTTGAGAACGACTATATGGAGGTAAGTGTCCGCCCCGAATTCAGTTCGGTTTCTCCCTAATATCCCTTAGCGTACAAAGGGCACGTTGCAAGCATCCTACAACGTCAAGACAGGGCCGATCTACGTGCGAGCGTTCACCAGTCCCACAACCAAGGCATAGGAGGAAGAAGGCAAGGACAATCACGCATACACGCCGCTCCGATTCATGTCCGATACACAGTATCTCACGTGGACTGTGGTGGGCCAACAAGCTCCCGCCGACGGACAAACTTGGAACCGACTGGTATGGACCATCCAAGTCTACGCCTCGAACAAGATCAGTGCCGAAATCGCCTGCAAGTGCACGAGCATGTTCGGAGAATATGAGGCCGATCCACTGTGGCCGGGCGAGATATTTAGTATCTCCGACACGACAGAGAGGGGGGGATGCTTCAGAGGATTGTTATGTTCTCCGAATGGCCTTCTGATAGGGTATTTGATCATTCGGCATAAGAATGATCTTTCGCTCTGAGAAGTAGACAGTATAAGGATCGTGGAGCGGAATTGGATCTTTCATATTCGCTGGCTGGGGAGAGAGGGTCCGTAAGCTGGGCCGAAGCTGATAAGAAGGATTGAAGGGCGACTCAATCTTTGATAAATCTACAAGTATCCTGTTCAGTGGTATCGTTTGGGGGATGCTGCCGATAAACTCGTATATCCGCTATTACTTGCAATAATAGCACTCCGGTCTTCGACCAAGCCAGACAAGAATGAAGACATCAGCTAAACATAGTTCTTAATGAAGCTGTAAAAGTTTAGATATGATATATAATAATAACACCAGGACAAAATATAGTAATTCGACTTGTAAGCCAGAGTGCTAATGTGGAGAGTACACTGAATTGTCTAAATTGAAAAAACCGTTGCGCAAAGGTCACGTGATGAGACTAGATTCAATAGTCTTTGCCTTTTGGCCCTTCTTCTTTTGCCTTTTGGGTCCTTTTCTTTGTCTTTGGCTCCCCAAATTAGGGGTCGACCAATGTCTTAGTAAGAAGTTGGGTCACCCGATATTCCGCTGACGAAAAGCATTGAATCGATCTCACAGTCAACAACTTTCATTGTAATCTTATAAGAAAGCTTTAAAGGTTCCCAGCATTCGTTTTCAATCCAACCGCCGCATTTCCAATCACCACCTTCTCCCCTTTCCCATCCCCTACCACCATCCGAAACGCGATCCTTCTCCCCTCTTCCTCCCACATCTCCGTCCGCACCAACTCACCAGGGAACACCGGCTTGCTCAACCGGCACCGCACCCAGTCAAACCTCCCGACATCCCCTCCCGCAAACTCCTCGATGATCTGCCTGATCCCAACCCCCAGCGTACAGGTTCCCGTCAGAATGGGCCCCTGAAAGCCTGCCCGCTTCGCCGTCGCCGGATCGATGTGCAGCGGATTCAAATCGCCCGACGCAGCGCGGTACAGGGCGCCTTGTTCGGGTGTCGTTTTATACTGGAGCACCTTGTCAGCGGTCCGCGATGGGGTGGGGTAGGTTGCGGTTGCGGGGCCACGATCTTCGGTGGTGGTGGAGGCGCCGGCTGGGGGGATGCCGAGGACGAACGAGGTCCATTCGCTGTAGCAGATGACCGTACCGGACGGTGGATGCGAGGTTTCGATGGCGACCGTGACGGTGACGCCGCGGGGGCGAGACACGCAGCCGATGATCTTCCCGGTGGTGCGGATGGGGACAGTGGGAGAGTTGGACGAGGGGATGGGGAAGGGGGCGAGGGATCGGATGTAGTGCTCGCCATGGAGTTGGTTGTGGGGTTGGAATTTGGGGAGGAGGGAAGGAAATGCTTGGGAAACGGCGCCCATGACGGAGATGGTGGGGACGCAGGCGAAGGAGGGGAGGGCGTGGAATGAGGGGTGGGCTTCGAAGGTTAGGGGGAGGTTGGTACCTGCAGCTCCCAGGGCGAGGTTGTAGGAGATGATGATGGAGGCATTGTAGGAGGTGTCAACGGACCATTGTCGGGATTGGAGGAGTTGAAGGTCAATGGTTGCTGGGGCCATGGCTATTTACTTGAGATGGACAGGCAAATAGGATATTGTTACTGATTAAGCCCGTGAATCAACTGTCACAGTTTCGAAAGATCAACTGTGTCAAATGAATTGTGACTTCGAATATAACTGGGCAACGTGAGATTTAACAATTACGCTGCACACTGCCAATACACTATAATCGGCGGGGTCTTGATGCGGGGCGGGAATCGATCGGTTCGGCACTGACAGACCCCGTCACTTGTAGCCGGCAGCCGTCTGAACCTTATTCTGACCTCCTATCCACACCGCCCGACACCATGTTGACCAAGCGCAGATGTGACTCCGTATGGGGAAGATATGAGAAGAAGGATATCTAGTGGACTTGAATAAAACCATAAAAGATCTTTTACGGGAGAAAACTCGAATGGAGGATACCGACGACGTTGAGATGCTTCGCAGCTTGCATAATGGCAGAGGGCCTATTTGGCGATCGGACAAGAACTGGAAAAGTAATCTACGGCTGGTACATTAGTATATCAGACATATTCCTCGATTGATATTTTAATTGGGATGCGATGGATAAGTAAGTATTCGAGAAGAGAAGGCATGTTGTTTGTTGACTTAGATAGGTTCCTTTGGAGGCATGAATCGCTGAATGATCCGAGATTCAACCTAACTTCAGCCGCACTTCAGCCGAGTCGCGACCTCCCCTTGTCACCACGCGACTTCGCGACGCGACTTGTTCTAAGCGGTCCCTCAGCACTATCTATCCTCCAACCCATACCAATAACACATTCAAATCCTTAGTTCAATTCCTCCCAAACATATTTCGGAAGCTTTATATTGTATTCAAGGTCTAACTAGTCTTTTTATCCCCAGCATGGCTTTAAGAACATAGTATACCCCACCAATACGCGTCTCAGCGCGTCAATCCATGAACTGTCTGCTACAGACATCGCTTGCGATCGCCATATTTGCACACATATTCGGTGCATTCTCCCTCTCGGTTACTCTCAGTCGATACCCTAAAGAACACGTCAATGTTAGCTAGCCGGTCTACTCCTCGAAACAAGTCAAACATCCTTCCGGAAACATGTATTTACCACGCTCCCTCGTCGGACACCTCTACAACCACCTGCTTCGATCCCACCATCCCCTCTCTCCTCCGGTCCTCATCCTGGTATCCCTTGAACCGGACGCGATATGTGCCTGCCGAATTCTCACATCCCTCCTTCGACGCGACTATATCTCACATAAGATCCATCCCATCAGTGGCTATGCCGACCTTGCCAATGCCGGCACGGAGCTGGTTCGTCCGATGCGCAGGTCCGATGGAGGGTCCGGTGGCGTGGTGATCTGTCTCGGTGTGGGGGGCATGGTGGATCTGGAAGAGAAACTAGGGCTCGAAGTCGACGAGAATGGCGAAGGCGGAATGGGAGGCGTGGAGGTCTGGGTCTTAGATGCAAGACGACCGTATAACTTGACCAACGTGTTTGGCGGGCAAGGAATCCAACCTGAGGAGATTGCGGATGAAGCGGGAAGAAGACGGCACGGGATTGACAAAGGCCAATTGTCAGACGCGTACCTCCCAGGGAATGGGGGGATCATTGTCTTGGACGATGGTGATATTGAGGAAGACCTAGAGCCCGAACGAGAAGCATATTGTGCACTTGCTGAGATGCCTGAACTCGGCGACGATGACGAGTCCATCGTGTCGGAATCGGAGGTGGGAGAAGCTGCCGATGAGGACGACATCCCAACCTCCGGTCAAGCAAGCCGGAAACGAAAGAGCTGGTCAGACACAGAAGATAGCGAGCTGGACGATGACGAACGACCCAGGCAAAGGCGACGTAGTAACTCAGTAAGTCGGTTCAACCTCCACGGAATGACGCGTTTAACAGTCCACAGTCCACCATTATCCCCTCGTCTCCGCGACCCGATCGACGTCGTGCCCTCGGGTCTTCCGAATCCTCACGTTCAGTCAGCCCCATCGAGCATTCCGGCTCCGTCTCTCCCATCCCCAAATCCAACGAACTTTCTGCTCGCCAACTCCGCCGCCAACTCCTCCGCCTGCGCCAAAAGCACGACCGCGTCCTCCAAAAATACTACTCCCTCGGTACCTCCTTCTCCGAACCCGTCTCCTCGCTCCTGTACTCCCTCGCCTCCGAACTCGGCCGCGAAGACAACGAGCTCCTCTGGCTCGCCATCGTCGGCGTCACCTCCCTAGAACTCGCCGGCCAAACCGCCCATGGCCTCGGCCTCATGCCCATCTCCGACAACCTCACCCCCTCCTCCTGGTCCGGCGCCCGCGGCGCCCGCATCCGCGCCGTCCTCCGCGACGAAGTTCGCCGCCTCAACCCCGCCGACCCCAACTCCTCCCGCGACAGCACCACCGGCGAAGCCTCTGGCGCGATCCCGACGCAAGCTCGCTCACCCACGGACAACGCCATCCGGCTCTCCCCCGAGCCGCGATTCCTCCTCATCCGCCACTGGTCTCTCTATGACAGCATGCTCCACAGCAGCTACGTGGCATCCAAGCTCAAAACCTGGACCGAGCCCGGCACGCGCCGCCTGCAGCGCCTCCTCGCCAAAATGGGCGTCAGCCTCACCCAATGCCGCCAGAGCTACACCCACATGGACATGGAACTCAAGCGCGGCCTCCGCGAACGCCTCCTGAAATTTGCCCCCCTCTACGGCCTCCATGACCTCGTACCTCCCCGCGTCTTCGGCGCCGGCGACGCAGGCAAGGATTCCTGGGGCTTCGTCCGCTGCTGGGGCTGGAAAGCCTGCCTCTCCGCCTCCGACGTCGGCGTCGTTCTCAGTGCCATCCTGGATGTCGGCCACGTCGCGCACGCCGCACCTACATCCACCGCTCAACACGCGCCCAGCACTCTGTCCTCGGGCGCGTCCACCCCCGCCGCCTCGACCGGCACGCACGACCTCGCGCTCACGCCCACGGGTGCCGACGCCTCGGACATGTCGCGGTTCTTCGCGGCGTACGACGCGCTGGGGTCGCCGAGCGTGGTGCTGGCGCAAGTCGGGGTGGCGCAGGGGCTGGCGCGGGCGATTCTGCGGACGGGGACGTCGCTGCTGGCGAAGAAGCAGATCCGGCGGCTGGCGGCGTTTCGGATGTGCGTGGTGCGGGAGGGGCCGGACGTGGGGGTGTTTTGCCGGGCGGGGCCGTTGGTGAAGTTGGGACTGTGGGTTGCCGGGGCGGTGCGGGAGGAGGGGGAGGGGGGAGGGGAGATGGTGATTGCGGGGTTGGATGAGGGGAGGGGGGTGTTTGTGGTGGTGGGGTTGGGCGGGGGAAGTGGGGGATATGATGCAGAGAGGCGGAGTGCGAAGATGGTGGAGAGAAAAAAGCGGAAAGAGGAGAAGGAGAAGAGAAGGGGGGAGCGGAGAGCGGAGAGGGAGAAAAGGCGGGAGGAGAGACAGGAGCGGTGGTTAGCGATGGGGGAGGATCTAGAGGACTTCGAGGAGAGCGAAGACGAGAGCGAGGAGGACGACAGCGACAGCGACAGCGGCAGCGAGAGCGAAGGCGAGGAGCGTCGCCGGGCGAAAAAAGGCGAGGGACGGAATAAATTCGGTATCGCGTTTCTGGAAGTGGCACGGGAGACGGGGGCGCGGGTGCGGAAGGATGGGTTCGAGCATTGTATCGTGGAGGTGGGGAAGGAGAGTCTGAGCGCGTTCCTGGAGGGGCTGAGCTTTAAGGCGGTGGTGGGGTAGGGTAGGAGCCGTTTCATCTTGGAGGAGCGAATAGCGGCATAGTATGGTGATTGCATGGGCGGAGTACAGTATCATGATCGGTAGACGCGGTCAATGTCGGCGTCCGGGACCCTGTTTTTCCTACCATACGCGCATCAGCCGTTCTACAATATCACATTCTCGTTCTACCCTCTCCCTCAAGTACTGTAGCGAGCGCGTGACCCATTCATCTCAGCGAAGTGCCCTCCGGCGGGGTATCATACATCCAAATCATAACGAACGACATTTTCTTCCTTCCCGTCCTACACGCCATTCCAACCTATCCACTTGGGTCATTCACCGTCCACCGCCGCTTTACCGCCCGCTCCCGATCCAACTTCGGCGCCTGCGACGCGCCCCACAACCTCATGTGACTCGGCCCCGTTCCCCACAACCCCTGCGTCTCCCCAGGCGGCTTCCCCGGAAAATTCTCTACCACCTCATCCCTTTCCTCCTCCTCACTCTGCCGTTCCGGCATTCCCTCCTCATCCTCCTCCTCCTCCCCATCCTCTCCCTCCACCTCCCCCTTCTCCTTGATAACGACAACAGGCGATTCCCTTCCGCCCCCTCCCTTTCCCGCCACCTCCACCATCCTCACCGAACCCCCCGCATCCCCAAAATTCAACACCATATCCCGCCCAGGACTATTCGAATACAGCGAGTCCGCATCGCCCACCACCGTTGACGACAGTGCGGGGCTGCGGTTCGCATTCCACAAGCCGCCCGGCCGTCCGGGGATATCCCGTCCGCCGGGCTCGGCAGGGGACTGGCTGCGGGAGCTCCAACTGCGCGTGGGAGCGGATGGCTTGCGGGCAGTGCTAAGGGCGGCCGACATGGCGCGGACGGGGGCGCCGGCGGCGTTGGTGAGGTTGAGGGCGGCGAAGGGGGGGGCGGAGGGGGCGGCGGAGGAGGCGGTCGGGGGAGTGGTGGAGCCGATGAGAGCGGCGGCGGAGGAGGAGCCGGGAAGGCCGGAGGAGGAGAGGCCGTCGAAGCGGCGGCGGTAAGCGGCGTGTTCGGGAAGTTGGACGTGGGTGGGGATGGAGGGGGGTGGTTTGGGGGAGTCAAGGGTGGGGAGGCGGGAGGGGTCGACGCCGGAGGTGAGGTGCGTGGTGGTGGCGAGGTGGCGGATTTCGTAGGACTGGGCGAGGCGGGGGTCGAGGGAAGAGCGGCGGCGGGAGGAGAAGGATGGGGGGGTAGGTGGGGGGGAAGAGGAGAGGAGGGATGGGGGAGGTGGAGGTTTAGGGGGGGACCAGAGAGTGCTAGTAGAGTGGGTACGGGGGGAGGTGGGGGAGTGTCTCGGAGAGGTCTGGCGGAGGCGTGCCCATGTTAGGCTAGCCGTGCCAACGTCGATGAGGACTGGTTGATTTGTGAGAGCGCCGATAAGGGCATTGCAACCCGCACCGTGAGTGACGAGGATGAGAATGAGCTCTTCCTCCTCTTCCTCTTCTGCTGCTTCTTCTTCCTCTTCTGGTTGCTGGGGTCGGACAGGAACCGGCTTTTTGGACGTTGGACTTAGGTTCGGCGTTTCCGTTCCGTAGGATTTGTACCAATTAACCATATTACTCAACCCTTTTCGGAATCTGCGGTGCATGGCGCTCCATTCTTCGCCGTTTTCGCCGCCACCGCCCCATTCTTGTGGCTCTCGCATGCTGTCCCATTGATAGTCCACAATCACACATGCATCGCGCGTGTGAGCGGGATAGCCAGCAGGAATCGGGTCGATATGAGCAATGGCATAGGAAGGAACAGGTGGCACATATAATCCCGCATCGGTTCCACCCGCGGAGATGGTGGCAGCCTTCGACTCGGAAGCTTGGGTCCCCGCCCGATCTCGACGTGGCAACGCCTGCTCAAGGTCCTCGAGATGTGACAACGGCCCTCGGTCCTCCGCAGAAACTGTAGCCCCACTCGATCTCGAAGGAGACTCGGCCTTCACCTTCTTCCCCCATCCGCCTGGGAAGTTACCTGGACCGTTGGTGGCGTTTTGAGGCTGCAAGGCATCAATTCTATCAGCACGACGGAGTAACTCTGCTTTCGCGTTCGCGACCATGAAGGTCGAATTTGGTGGAGGGGTGATGTCTTCGAAGTATTCTGGCGATAACCATTCTCCAAGAAACGCGTCGATTCGAAGCGTTGTCTTCCGAAGGCTGTCGGGCTCTTGTTCGCCATTCTGGTCCTTCCTAGCATCGGGGGTGCTGTCGACAGGGTTGGAAGTAGGGGCGGAAGTTAAAGGCTTTATACCAACCTCCCGGGACAGTGGAGAGGGTGACCTCGTGGGAGATGACCTTCCAAGCTTTGCGTCCGAGAGCGCTCGTCCCCTAGATTCATGTTCCTTAGGTTTCTTGTAGCTTGCGATTCCACCACTTAGCGCCACCGACGTCTGGACGCAGCGTAAGAATGGTGAGCTATGCATTATGATCTTCTGCTTTCTCTTCCTCTTCCGCCCAGTGTTGTCGGCAGGCCGTCCATCTCCATTGCTGGTGCTAGCTCCATCCTTCGTTCGGAACGGGTCCTGTTGTGCCTCCTCTCGCTCCTTCGATTCTAGCTCATCCAATCGTGCGTTCAAGAGATGTGCGATTCGGAGGCCGAGTGATCGAGCTTGCATCCAACCGCCGTAGGTTAGAGGGGGGTCGTATGGTGTGGGAGAGGAGAGGTGCCATGATTTGTCGGCAGCGTCAAGCCTGGCTCCATGTCTGCGGATGATGTCGGTCAGAAAATGATATACCAGCCGGGGAAATGTATACCTTGCAATAATGATAACACTGGGCACTATTCCATCCATTTTGGAGGGTTACTCCGCTGGTATTAAGTGTTTTGGGTAGGACAAGCGGACCCGTAGGATTTATAAGTTAGCTCATAGCTCTCGCCTCAAGATGCGGTGACGATGGGGGCAATGGTTTAGAATCCGAAATCGACGAGCGAAAGACTTAAGTTCTTTGATTTTCCAGGTGTCTGATGCAGTATGGAAGAGTAGTTGGACTGCTTTCTAGTTACAATACATGTTAAGATGCAAACATGAAGCGTGAACAGCTCGGATCAAGCTTCAACTCCAACTCGAGGGTCTGGCCCTTCATTATTAAAAAGCGGGGAGGCGCAGAACTGATGACTCCGGCGTGAGGCGCAACAGATTCACTCATCTCATGACCCGGAAGAAGCTTCATTCTCCCGTTAACTCCGCATCAACCCATTGGATCTTCTGAATACCAGTATGGTATCTTTAGTTTGGCTTTGTCGTCGTATTACGCGACGGTTGCAGCTTGTCTTGGGGCGCGCAAATTGCCTTTGTTTGTGTTGATTCCGTCACCTCCAGCTCCTTGTACAGAGTATTTTACATGTGATTTCCATAACGTGCGATTTTGATCCACTGCTAGGCTGCTGAGATTTGTTCCCTCGTTTTTGATATTTGTCCCCCGCGCTAGTAATTAATGGTGGAAATTAATGGATTAAATCAATCCTAGCGTATAAAAGTACTCAAGCGGAGCAAACCTCTTGATTCTGATGTCAAAGACACGATATTACTACCAGTGCGATCAATTCAGAAAGTATCAGTCTAGTTAGAGCAAGGCTTCTGAACACAAGCATGCGCGCAACTGGATATCCCTTTAAGTTTATTATCTTCAAGACAAAGCAATCGGAGGATAGCGACCAGTAGAAGCTAGAGGTTCAACATAAGCATCATAACCACTCTCAATCACTCGACCCTAGTACACACAATGTCCATCGTAGACGTACACCGGCTCAGAAAGCTATAATTACATCAATGACACATGTCAGGGCCCGACCGATGCAGATATTGGCCGCAATTGAAAAGGAGGATAAGGATACATCAATCTCTGCCACTGACATTCGCGGCGAAATAAAGACAATTGGAGAGAAGCACTCAAATAGGAGGAGTTCGATCGAGACATTGCTAGATAGCCTTTCCTTGCCAGGATAGGTTTACGCTGCCAAGCAAGATATGGACAATCGCGTATAAGGTCTCTTCTTTGCCCACCGAAAGCAGATCGAGCTACTGCTTACGAATCCCGATATCCTGTTGATGCACTATACGTATAGAACCAACAAGTACAAACCCCCACTGTTACACATACTCGGCTGTACCAATCTGTAAACCTTCTTCTCTGCAGGCTTCTACTTCCTCAGCAACGAGATACAAGCAGATTATCATTGGGCAATCTCGAACTTCCTCCTTAAAACAGGAACACCACAACCACGCGTGTTTATTAGCGATCAGAAGGATGCTTTAAAACTGGCTGCCCGTACTCTGCTTCCGAGCGTTCCCAACTCCTATACGAGTAACATATCAACAAGAATGTACAGACAAAGGCGCAACAAATATGACGAGACACTGATAGGGTAACAAGAGAGGAGAAGTAGGAAATCGCCGATAAACGGGCTAGATTCATGAAGCGTTGGACCCAGGAATACTCCAGCTCTGACTATGAATAAGAAACAATAGACCTAACTAGAACAGCTTGTCTATGCAAAGGGACCACTTGAGTTCTAATTTAATAATAAGAATCAATTTAACGTACTATCTGGATCCCTTTCGGGTCTATGAGCATGATATTCTATCTGGTCTGCCGCGGGCAAAAGTTTCCCCCCAGCCGAGGCTGCAGGTACATAAAATCCCGCCTCCTCCCCTTAGTAGAGTATCTCAATCATTGTTCGTCTTTCCGCACGGGTCGGTGTTTCCGCCTACGCGGAGAGCTTATTCTGGCACGTCGTGGAGGAGCTGGAACGGTTTCCAGTCCTCTATTACTTCCTTCTCAACTTCCTTGGCCACCCGGTATTGCTCTAGGCCTCCCGCATCGATCAGCCACCTTGCTGCGTAGCGTACCTTGTCCCTGTCATGCAATATCCTCTTAAAGTCCGTTGTTCCAGCTCGTTGGAGGAGCGCGATCCTCTGGTAGGTCCGCTGCGGGCAAATAGCAAGGAGATGGTAGAGAGACTGTCGGGAGGTACCGCACTCACACGCTGGGTGGATTCCCGGGACACCGATTTTCGCAAGCCATCCTTTAACTCCAACTACCTCAGTCCGTAGTGCCATAAGCACCGAGGCCTCGTGTTTCTGAAGGCCATCAAACCGGTTAAGGCACTGGGTTTCCCACGGGTCCTTCCATGTCCTTGCTCTCCTTCCTGGTTTGGCCGCTTCGGCTTGCCATCTCTCCCTCCATTTCGCCCGATACTCGTCCTGGATCATCCGGTGCGGGCCTTTTCGCTGTTGTGTCTGATATCCCCCAGCTGTCCATGTCAAATTGGAGTATCGTTGTGAAGATAATGAATATACTGGTATTTACCAACGGCAATTATGCTCCCAAAAAACATAACCGGTTGACCGGTGCTTATAAAAGAATGTCCATAAACTGAGCGACCTTAAGCCATCAAATCTAATGGGGTAGCTTTACTCTCCACGCATCCTCTCATCCGCGACATTATCCAGACCAGTTTCTCTTTGAGACCAAAGGATATCAAGGAACACCATCGTTATGTCAACCAGTCCACGCGACCAAACCCGCGAACCCACACCGGCTTCCACCAACTTGATCAAGAACGTGAAACAATATCTGTTCGGGGAGAAGGAGATGTGGACTTGCTGTGATTGCCTATTTCAGAATCTAGATGTGTAAGAATATGACTTTTCACCTGTACTGAGCCATGGATAGGGCCTGAATTAGTTGACAATGAGTAGAAACATCACTACCTGCACCATTTTAAAAGGCGAAACGGAGTGTAACCGAGAGCCATGAAGCATCAGAAGTGTAAAACGTGGGAATGGAGCTCTCTGCAACCTGTTACGGGGATCGTGAAGTTGGAGCGTTCTTCTTAGTCGCGGTCTGGTATGGGTTGAAATGGAACTCATTCAAGAAATAAAACTAATCATGACAGCCATGGGGTCAGAATGTTCATACAACATGTCATTTGCAGTACAGAAAATTTCGTTATGCCGTATCTTACGGCAGGGTATCAACAATCCAATGCAGTCGTCAACCGTTCATAAACAGTGGTCATGGGAAAGGAAAATCCCCCAACCTACACGGCGGCTTTCGTGTGTGCCTTTCGCACCTTAGCGCGACTAGCGGTCTCCTCCTCAGGAGAAATGCGCCTTTGATAAGGCATAGTCTCAAACACACGGCGGTAGCCCCAAATCGACGTCCGGCTCTTGTAGCCCCCGCCCAATATCCACTTCTTCTCTCCTTTGAGTCTCCAACGTTGCTGGTCCTCGCTCATGTCAATGATATATCCATCCGCTTTATCTTTCCGAACGAACTCGCCAACAATGACAGCGAGAAGCTTTAGCATGATCGTCCAGTCATCGATGTTCTGCCCGGTATGGGGCTCATAGAGCGCATCGTCAATCGGTTTCTTGTATAATGCTTCCCAGGCATTGATGTCTTTGAGCTTGAGGAGCTTGTAGAAGAGGGCTGCGATGACAATGTGGCCTGGTTTCAACTTGAAATAGTAACCCCAGTTGAAGTATTCGATTTCATCGAAACGGAGGAAGTCGGTACCCTCGAATATGCCCACGTTCCATGGGGCTCCCGGCTCGAACACATCTTCGTTTTTCTTGTATAGCCGATAGATTATATCCATCTGGACGTAGTGTGTGCGAGTCCATGGTTCCAACCGTGGTAATAGACAATTCTTTCTTAAAAGGGGGTGCCCGGGATGGTCAGGGCTAGTAAGGGCGAGAGCATTGAGCACACCTCCTGTCATCCGGCCGATTAGACCGGATTGTGCCGGCAAAGTCATATCTATTGCTCTTGAATAGTGGTTGTGTTTGCTGAGACTTGTAGACGGATCTGTTTCGCTTACTTCCAGAGGAGTGTTGCAGGCCTCGGAACTCTCACTCTCCAGGGACACGTCCGCGGAGGAAGCTGCGGCTCTGAGGGGAATCGTAAAGGTATTCTGGACTTCTTTGTAGCTCACTCTGGATGTTGAATCAAGCTCCTGGCTTGTGCTCATGTATCCGCTACTGGTATCAGCCCCCGATTCTGAAATCAATGTTGACACCTCGCCTAGAGTACGAGAAATATCCTCAGTACGGCCATCGACCGCTACGATTTCGTCCTCGCTGTAGTCGTCCTCCAAACTAGTTCGACTTGTACCGGACTCCGGTGTCAACTGTGAGCTAGACGCGTCGTCATCCTCATTAGAAACCGGACAATGTTTGAGCATCTCGTTTCGCAACTGGCGGACATCTGAATGGGATAGTTCATTAGAACCGATTGAATCCTCTAAGAGTTGGGAACTCGTCTGTTCTCTTGATCGCTCGCTGAAAGGAGAAGGGGTGTCTTCAATGCTCGAGTGATTTGAAGCCTCAAACACCAAATGACTACTCTCATCGACAGTAGACAAGTCGGAGTAATCCAGAAAGTATCCGTCGAGCTTTGACTGCTCCTGGATTTCTCGCGACTGAAGGGGTGAAGAAGGTCTTGGTGGAGAAGACGTGAACACAACCTGCTGCTTTAGAGGGCTACCTCGCACTGGAATACTTCCTCGAGGATTGTTCCTCACAGATGGCGGTTGGAGTAGGGATGACTGTGGAATAACTTTGTCCGCGACGTTTACCTTCGAAGAGCCGGATGTGGGAGCGGAGACAGTTGGAATGGTTGATTGCTTTTCCGTCTCGCCTCGTGCAATAGAGACAACCGGGGGACTTGAAGCGACTGGATGGTAATTGTGGAACAACTCAGAAATTAGGGTGTCCTCCCCTGGACCCTCGTACTGGGATGGCTTGGATTGAGTTGAGCGACCCAGCAGAAAGGAACTGTCATCAGGTTTTGAAAGAGAGAACTCATTATCTTCACTTCTAACCTGTTTGTTCACCATCGATGACCCCAGCCTAGAGTGGGTGTCTTCAACGGGTAGTGCTGCGGTTTCAGGGACGGAGGGCAACGAGACGTCGATCTGAGACGGTTCGCTTAAGACAGGGTATATTGAGCTCTGGTCCTCCGCTGATTCGTCGGCGTACGAAAAGTCGGTGGCACTGACTCGTCTCCACGTCCTGGGCAACCGGCTCCGGCGAGGCTTGAAAATGGAAGGATCTTGAACGATTGGCACGACGCCGATGTTCGGGTCCGGTTCTTGAGAGGAGATGGGGGAAGATATATCAGATGAACGACTAGCTTCCTCTTCCCAAATATCTCCTCCAATGTCTTCCTGTATGTCACGGCTGGTGCCTTCTTCAGCATCTGGGGTTGGGTTGGCAGGCAGGGAATGCACGCTGGCATCCTCAACCACACTATGATGGCCATGTCCGTCTCCGATGGTGTGATGAACCTGCCTCGCTTGAGCATCTGTGGATGTTTGAGGAGGAGCGTTGATGGTACCGGGAGGTGTGTCCGCCCGCCAATCCATCTCATCAAGTTCTGATTGAACCGGGCTGATAAGATGCGACGGTGATATTTGCTTGCGGAGAGACGGATAAGTCACCTCACCGCTACTCTTATCCTCTGATTGTAGCTCCGGCGGAGCGCGATGCGGTGGTATCTGCCGCTGCCTTGGAGCGAGCGGTGCTGTCAAGGCATCATTGTTCGACTGATCGTCGCGGCCTCGTCCAGCAAGGGGCGAGATCTCGTCTCGCAAGTTTGACTCTTCTTTCTTAGCCAACTCTTCCCCAAGACGCAATGCCTCTCTCAGGCCTCGTTGAGAGTCTTCACCGAATGGACTGAACAAATCAACCCGGTCTTTCAGCACGCTTGCCTTCTTTGGGGGGGTGCGAGTATTGGTATCTACAACTCCTTGAAGTGCAATTCCTGCCTTAACAGCACGAGACAACTTCGGTGTAGTATTTTGTGGCTCAACAATAGCTGGGACAACAACGGGAGGCGGATTTGAAGCGGCCGGTGAAATGGGAGCCAGAGGTGTTCTGTTTGCATAGCTAAGAAGAGGGGACTTTTGGATCGCAACCATATCTGAGAAGTCAGATTCCGTTGGATCAGGAGTTGGAATGTAGCTTCCTTCATCTTCAATATCTGCAGCGGGTACAGGACTAGAAGCACAGGTGTCGCCAGCAAATTCGGTCTCCAGGACGGGATGTATGGTTTGATGCTCTGCATCCTCTGCAGCTCGCATACTTGGAAGGGAGTCGATTGTGACCATGGTCATGTCTTCGCTTTCGAGCATCGTCTGCTCACCAATATGCGTGAAATCTTGTTCCTCAATGTCATCATCGTCAAGTTGTTGAGTACTGAGAAGATTCTCATTCTCGGGGTATGAAACAAGGGAATCCCCACGTGCAGAGTCTTTCCCATCAATAGATTCCATAAGAAGAGGTTTCTTGCGCTTTGCACGTTCCACGGAGTCTAGTCTTAGACAGGAGGGTAATGGCTCAATCTCTTTTACTGACTGCATCGTCGAATTTCCCTCCTTCATCAGGCCAGCGGGGGATCTAGCATGGCTCGCGTCCAGCTCAGGACTCGAAGGCTGTGCTAAGTCGGAACTCAGATCCACGTCGGTGCTTGATCGGTCGGGGGTTCGTGAGTCGGCTGCTGGTAGGGCATTGAAATCAATCCTTCGCCGAACACCAGGTGCCGGGCGAAGAGCGGCCCTTGGCACATCCAGGAGAGTGGGATTCTTCGTCTTTGCAGATTCTCGTACTCTGGTATTTTGAGATCCCCGTGCAATAGCTGAAAGCATGCTGCAGTCACTAGTGGCTGTACCAATGGAAGAAAGTGACGACTCGGGTTGGTCGGTTTCAAGCAGCAGTTGTGACAGCGGCTTCACCACGCTCATGCTCTCTACGTCCCGAGGTTCCCCAGGCGAATCCGAAAGGAATGGGCTAGGAATAGGGTCTTCGGTATTGCTCAAAGGCGGAGTGTCTGGACTTCTTGCCAGATCTTGCTCGTAATCATCCGGGTCCAACTCTACTGGGGCAGTCGCTTTCCTTCGGCCTCGGCGGCGGACAGCCACCTGATCTTCATTCAGTGTGAAAATGTCGTTGTCTTCCCCTCCGCTATTCTTGCGGGATTGACGTCTTTTCGCTGGCGTCCCGTTCCTCTTCTTCGGTATGCTTCCCGCTTCTGATTTTCGCCCTCTGCCCCTTCGTTTCGCCGGAGACGGAACGCCCTCATCGCGTAGAGGCACCGCCACACTCGTCTTCTTGATTCTAGCTTTCCGGGTCGGGCTTTCCAAGTTCTCATCATTCTCATCCTCTCGCGGTTCAGCCTCAACCGTAACCTTGATCTTCCAGGGACTGGAACCCGATGTTGCGCCTGTCGAAAGAAAGATCGATTTCGAAGGCGACGCGCCGTGGTTGTCCAGGGGAAGTTGGAAAGTGGTCGATGATCTTCCCGCATTTCCAGTGCCTGACCTCAAGGGCTGTGCGCGTGTCCTGGACGCAGACACGCGTTTAAGCGGCGATGATATGGAAGGGGAAAGGGCGAGGGGATCGGGGGAGGAGATGTTTGTCTCGTCGAAAGGATCGGAATCGCTATCCATGGCCGCGGATATTATGCGGTGGTCACTAAGAAATCCAGTTATCGCAACATCCCACGCGTTGTCCTCTGCGAGGCTCGCTTTTGGATGATTTGAGCGTCAAGTGGGCTTCTGGGACGTGCAGTGGTTGCAGGCTTGGGATAAGGTGATATGAGGAGAGGAGATAGGACAACAAAAATATGTTTGTCAAGGGATGAAGACGCTCGACTTATGGTTAAAATATTGATCTAACCTGAAAGACTACATAATAGTAAATGAATACACAGAAAACATTGGTGGGGTGAAGTTCATCCACCATGTTGTTTCATCTGATGCTGATTCATATTGTTGATCTGGTTGCTATGGCACTCGGATGTAAACAAGCCAGACCCTGATGTCTTCAGCTCGAGATGCTTGGCATGGGAGGCTTCCCTTCAAAGACCGTAGCAATAATGACAATCCGAGCGGCTTTGAGTCCAACTTTTCATTTCCCTTTCTCAGCATGATTTTTGGACTCTAGCTATTACCAACCAAATGCCTCTGCAATGGGGATCCATGGGTTAGTTTTGTGCAAAAGTTCTCCATTCTCTCTAACATTGTTCCACAGTATATACAAAGAGATCGGCCCTGGACAGAGGATAGCTCTCTCGAAGCTTGCTGCAGATGCATTTACGAAGCACAAACGACCATTACGACTAGCAATAGATACATCCATTTGGCTATTTCAGATTCAAGCATCCAAAGGTTTGAGAACTGGTTCAGCCCTTCGTAAAGCTCGCTGACTTGTATAGGCGGTACCAATCCCGCTCTTCGGACATTCTATTATCGTTTAATTCGACTCCTCTCGCTCGCGATCCATCCGGTATTTGTTTTCGATGGCGACAACAAGCCACCATTCAAACGCAACAAACGGACGGGAGCGAACGTAGCCTCGATCCCCGAATACTTTGCGAAAGACCTACTCAAATGGTTTGGATTCTCCGTCCACGAAGCTCCCGGCGAAGCAGAAGCAGAATGCGCTCTCCTCCAACGCGAGGGAATCGTGGATGCTGTTCTTTCCGAAGACGTCGACACTTTGATGTTTGGGAGCGGTACGACGATACGACTCTGGACGGCGGAAGGCAAAGGCAAGGTTCCGACGCATGTCAGCCTATATGATGCCGAGACTACTAAGAATGGTACATCCGGGTTGGATTGCGACGGAATGATACTTGTGGCGCTCATGAGTGGAGGAGATTACATACCCGAGGGCCTGCCTGGATGTGGACCGAAGGTGGCGTGTGAAGCTGCTCGAGCTGGCTTTGGAAGAGAGCTATGCTCCATGAACCGACGCGATAAAGCGGCCTTGAAGGAATGGAGAGAGCGGTTGGTTCATGAGCTTCGGACCAATGAATCAAAATTCTTCAAGCGGAAACCTCGAAAATTTGACGTACCGGACAATTTCCCTAGCATGGAGATTTTGGGATACTATATGCAACCCGCAGTGTCGTCGAAGGAAACCATTGATGGGTTGAAAAAATGTTTGGATCACATTTCAAGATGCGCTTCCGCAGAGGATCTCGAGCGCTATTGGAATACCTTGCAAGACCAAACATCCCAGAAACTGCGCTATTCGCTACGCTCGTTCTTCGAAAGACCGATTGACTTCGATAAACTCCGTACTTTCACCAGAGATGGTTTCAAATGGCAGTACCTGGACGACGCGAAGCATTTCATTCGCACGATGTATCCAGCCGCTTTGGTTCGGGAAATCAGATTGAACAATCTGGAGCATATTGGAACTGTGGTCGACTCCAAATCGGAACAAGCAGCTGTCAAAGCATTGCTCGGCTCTCGGGCGCATCCTGTCACCGATAATTGTACTGAGCTTCGGGTCGAATGCATCCCGGAGAAACTCGTACCGATAGACCTCTCGAAAGAGGAGGCCACTTCAGCATTTCAGAGGGACGTAGGGACCGAAGACGAAGCCGAGTTGGGTGATGAAGACGCACCAAAGGGCCGTGGCCCAACCCTTTTCAATCCCAATGCGCCACAGCGTGTTTGGGTCCACGAAGTCTACGTCCAACATGGTCTCCCCGATCTCTACGACGGCTTCCAAAACACTCTACGCATGAAGGCGATCGAAAAGGAAGACAAAGAACGGCGCCAGGCAGCCCGAAAAGCTGCGTCTACCGCTCCCAAAGGCGTACAAGCCGGTTCACTGGACCGATTCACCAGGGTGACGAAATCGGGACAACCAGGTCCATCTCTTAGGTCAGCCAAATCACCCACACCGCAGCCGGCATCTACAGCTCCGGCTGTGTCGGAAATCCCACATGCTCAAAGCGAGACACAGGCACCGCGAACGAGGGCGACGACCAAACGGAGAGATGCCATCCCTGCCACGCAGCCTGCTCGCTCGACCGACCTACGACCCGTCGCAAACTTTCGCGTCCCACCAAGCCTCTCGTTCCTGGCCGAAAGGGAGGATACTGGGGCAGCCTTCATGGCGACTAGGACAAATGTTTCCTCGAGCAATCGTCACCTCGGCGAGGACTCATTCGACTATCCTCCGTCTTCTCAGCCGCAGGTAACAAAGCGAGGAAAGCGATCTCCCTTCTCCCGTTCTGAAACCCTCCCCGTGGGCATCGGAACCGGAATCTCCAATACCACTCCTCAATCCGAGGAAATCGACGGACTCGATGCATTTACGACTCTCATGCAGAGTGCCAAGGACGATTCCGCACTCGAGGTGCGGTCGCCGTTCAGAAAGCGACGGAAGACAGCTTCTTCACAGAGAGGCTCCAAGGAACCTCCCACGCCCAGAAAAGCAAAAGGTGCCGATGTAATTGACCTGATATCACCGAGTCCCAAGAAACAGACCAGCATCTCGAGTTTCGTGACCAGATCATCTCCCAGGAAGGATAAGGAGGATGACGGTCATGATGATATGCGTCGGGGACACGATTCTTTTTTAGATGATTGGCTAGAATCAGCGGGAGGTCGTCAAAAGGGTTTGGGTGATATTGAGCATGACGGTTCCCGCCGCTTCTGGCCAGAGAACCAAAAGCTACACGATGATGCAGGCCTGCAGCGGCTTGACTTGACGGACTCACCACGCAGTGCACGAGCCAAGGCCCGTGCGAATAGGCTACAAGAGGGCTCCGCAAGTGAAGCTATGATTATCCATTCGGATGCTGTGGCGCGAGTGAACCTCACCGGAATTGTACAGCCGCCATCATTGCGAGCGCCGGCTTCCTCACTAAGCTCCAGGCGGTCACTCGCGGAGCTGAAAGATGGGAATATTCCCCAATCGAAGGCCCAGATTGCAGGCTATGGTGCGCAGACAGAGGGTGAACCCGCAACGAAGGCACAGGACAAGCAGGAGATTGTCGCTCCAAGGGCGAAGAAGAAACAGACTCATGTGCTTGTCAAGGATGACGGCAGCTGGGAATGGGGGACGAATGGTGTTCGGGTCGAGATTATTGACCTGACCAAAGTTAACTGAGGCTTCCTACCATGATGATAATGAGTATGAAGCACTATTAGGAGTTGATCGGAGTACATAGATGCATCCGATGGTGAGTTGAATTCAGGACCAAGGTCAGGTGACCCCGGTCCAGATGTCAATCAACGTCGTTTTACAACGCCGATCAAACAATGTCACAAATTATCCTTCCACTTCGTATGTGGAGAGGACCTATCCATCGTGATCCACTATCAAAAAGTATCGCTCCGTCAAGGTCGCTTGAGACCAGGCAACAATGCGCAGCAGGTCGGAGAAATTATCCCGCCCCAGCTTACAACATGAAGCAACATGTATGCCGTGGTCGTGGCCACGGCTCCATGTTACGGACCACCGGAATATCGGAACATCGGAATATCGATGAAGGATTTATTTATCGGAGAACCTCCAATGATGCCTCGTCGTCAAGGCCCAGCCCCAAGCCGATTGGGTTTCCATGCATATTGCGCTACCCATACGGAATACAGACGTCCAGGCTCAGCCACAATGGGCAGCATTTTAAGGCAGCGGTTTCGCGTCTCTTTGCTTGCACAAGTTATGCTTAACTTTCGTATTCTTCGATCATCCTAACTGGCTGTTTCACCGCGGTGTTGCAGGATAGGGTATCTCCGCTCAAAACGCCTTGGGCAGCGAGATGAGATCCTCCCCTCAACATCCCAGCCTGTAGTTGACTCGGAACGCTTCTCCTGTTCGGCAAGCAACCAATTGTTCACCCTGAATCCTCCTCATGTTCGGCAAGCAACCAATTGTTCACCCTGAATCCTTCTCATGTTCGGCAAGCAACCAATTGTTCACGGAGCCATCATCGACCCGAATCACATCCTTTACATAGTACTTGTATCTTATTATACCATGGCGCGGCCACCAGATTCGCTATCGGAGAAATAGCCTATCATGCAACCTGCGGCAACAGTCGGATCAGATATATCTGGACTCAGCCAGGAGGCCGTTCATTCGCCTTGCGAGTCAAAACAGGTTTCTTCTCATTTGATCTATCTCCTATGCTCATATTGGTCGAGTCGCCGATTCTCATCTTATTCGATATTAGTGCGGCTCTGTTCATATCCTGTCTATTGTAAATCTTGCGCTATCTGATATGGGGATCTACAGATTCCTCTAGTACACTTAATGGTCATCATACCCTCACCAATAGGTTGAACTTTCCTTCCGAGCTTTTCTCGCCACGTTCCATTTTCCTTGCAAGAGCGGATGTCCACCTCAATGTATCTTGGTTAGCCTACATTTTCCTTATTGCATGGATAACCTCGAGCCAAGCCACCCATATCCGAAAGATCCATCTCCTTCCCTAGCCATGGACCCTCCGACGAGCCAAACGTCCAGGATTGTCCCTCCTCGGCTCCTTCATCTTCCCTTCACGAACTCCATAACCCGGACTCCAAAGCTCGAGGAGGCGCTCAGGAAGATGTACCCGGATTTGTCATCTTACGAGAATCGTCTGAGAGCGCTCGTGTTTCAGTATCAATTCCGGCCTGGCTCACTGCTCTCTGAAAAGAACAATTCGCGGGAGTTTCTGTTCACGGCGCTGCAGGACATGTACTCCAATTATCCAGAGGAATACCGGCTAAACATCCTAATGGTAAATTTCATCCTGATGAATGTGGCTGTTGGAATGTTGCCTGCAGTGGTCGCCAGCAAGAGACGAGGCGGGTCTCCGGAGGTGGATATCAAGGGGAAAGATATGGACGATGCCAGGGAGAAAGAGAGGCCCACAGCTCCAGAGGTAACTATCAAAACAGAAGACGCCAATCAGGTGGCAACGGGTGGTTCTTCAGCTCGAAGTGTCGCATCAAGCGGTTCTGCGAGTCCTAGAATTATGGTGCTCAATAGCAACAAGGGAATGAGTCTCGAAACGAGGAAACGACGAAGGCCAAAGACGGAGGAGGAGCGTGATAGCATCAAGCGCGCTCGATCTCACGGCGCGTGTAAAGACTGCAGAAAGAGCAAGCATAAGGTGACCGGGACGAACCCCCTATCTTGCTCTGCTAACGATTCTCAGTGTCATCATATCCCTGCAGACGACAACGGAGGAAAGACGAGAGATCCAAAGCTGAGATCGTATGCAATCGTTCCATTATGAAATCTATGGAGGCTGACGTACTGAAGATTGGCTCCCGCCTTCCCCCTCCCTGGCTTCCAAGCTGGAGCCCCGGAACAGGGTTCTGGGAAACAAAGAACTGAAGACCTTGACCATTCTTCATCCCATGCTGGACTTCACGTATCTGCGCAAAGAGAAAATCGCCACGCCACGCGTAGCAAGTCACGCCGGCAGCGAATGCAGGCACCTCACTCTTCACCGCCATCGGGGCCGCATTCGGCAGGTTCGGTTGATACCTTCAAACACTTCATTGCACCCGAGACGTCTAGAGTTCATCACGGAACTACTTCTAAACGTCGGAACGGTCATTCTGGCAACCACGACATCCTAGTAGGGGCTAAAAGCGCTCCTACTACCGGTGATCCACCATATTCTGGACAAACACCAAGTATCAACAGTATGTCACCTAATTTCAGTCTCTTCGGTCCACCTTCCAGAGATTGCGGTCTGGCCTCCCAAGTGCCTGGAAACCAACCCCAACATGGACAGGACCGTTATTGGTTAAGGCAACCCCTCCCGACCGGATCTGATCATGGTCCACCCCCTACATTCCGCCATCTAGGAGCTTTGCGAGTTTCTGAAAGGCTTGCCACACAATCCATGCCGGACAGCATCCCTTCCAGCCCTGGCCAAAGGACAAATCGCCATGGAGGGCCTCCAACCACCAACCCCGAGCGGATGGCCGTTACCCAGGTTTCGGACTTTGGAGCCTTGGAGTTCTCTTTTGATAATGATATGGCCAACATTATCTCGTTACTACCTGATTTTACATTTCCTGGTGAGGATCCCCAAGGCATGGATCCGGTCATTTCCATGGCGTTGGACTCTCTCATGGATTTTCCGGAGGATTTCAACTGGCTCGAGGTATTCCAGGAGCTGCCCCGACAAAATGATGGCAATCATCCTGTAGAGAATCTGTAGGCAGATTCCACTCTGTCGCATTTGCTCCGGCTACGGCCGGACCCATGTCTTCAGGTATGATTTTATTTTTCGTGGTTATGCCAGATCTGTCATCGTGCTTCTCTTAACTTTTTGTCCAATTGTATTGTTTTGCTTCAATCCTGGCAAGTATCTTGGATTTTGAGCGAGCTTGGACCAATCCCAGGGACTAGGAGTCTTTCTTTCGTTTAATTGTTTACTCTTTAATTCTGAGCCTTCAGCGTTGTCATTTTCAGCAATTCCTCTAAACAAGGAATTGCATCCAGGAGCTGAACCTGGGCATCCTTGTTGTTTGGTCATTAGTCCACCGACGGGGAGAGTGCAGGTTCTTATCCGACACTGGCATCAGTGGCCGTTGCTCCATTTATTTCCATAGCGCTGCTCTACCGTTACCAGATGTTTTTCCATAGCGCTGCTCTGGGCCGTATAGAACACGAGTTGGCATGGTGAGCTAGACAATATCGCTGACTCCAGTGTTTGCCAGGTATGATCTTGCTCTTACCAACGGTTCTCTACATCGGAAGGTAGGTCAGCCTGTATGGAACCTTTTGCATTGACTACTTATTAACTTCTCAAGCAGATTTCCATTTGCATCGGTACGGTTCTAGCCTCACGGGCGTTTCTCACTTCATCCACACGACGTCGACGGGCTCTCTTATTCCCTGCGTGCAGATCTGAACAGTGGCGGATGGTGTATGTAACCCATGTGACGTCTAGAAAATGCATCAGCTTACATGGATCTAGTTTCTGAATACATTTATACGAGCATACGTAGGGTAGAATCTCGTCGCGAAGAGTCTCGGGAGGGATGCACTGGATTTACTGAAGAATTCCATTGAGCTCTGCTCGATATTCGAATGATGAGGATCACGTGCATCCACAATATAGTTCCAATCAGCGAATAGAGATAGTTTGAGAGAGTCTTCTTTTGATTCAAAGTTATTCTCAGGTAGTACTTGCTGTGTTGGTATCGATCAACTCAAATCACCACCCAGCGCTAACCCGTCCTCAAATGAACTAACCATGCCCGAAACAAAATTGCTACCGCGCATCAAGGAGCTAGCAATCCCTCCTTCTCCAACGCGTCCAGATCCCCCCCAGCCGCCATAACCAGCTTGGCCGCTGCCTGACTGAGCTTCTTCCGCCTATCCGCCGCCTCTTTCTCCCGCCTTGCCTTCGTCTTCGATGATCCTGACGGAGCCACCCCGTTCAATATCTTGCTGCTGTCGTCAGGCGTGAAATTCACAAACCATGATCCCCCCGCTCCGTTGCACATGCTCTTGCTCTGCCCGTGGCCTTGCCCGTGGCCGCTCTTTCGACGCTGCGTCCCCGCACCAGGCGGCCTCGTGGAAGCGCGGCGGGGACGAGGCGGAGAGGCAGAACCTTCTCGGGTGGTGGCACGCGGCTGTCGGGAGGACGCCGGGGAGAGATCATGGGCTCCGCTAGAACTGCCGACACCTCCGGTACGTTGCCCATGTGCACGCATTCGGTTGGGCGGGTGCCGCAGATACGGAGTCGAGCCGTTGAGGGCGAGAGGCGAGGCAGGGAAGGACGCGGTTTGGATTTGATGCAACGTGGCCGGTGAGTTTTGCCTGGGCAGCGACTGCTGCAGAAGACTGTCGATTCCCAAAGAGGCCGGCGGTTCGCATTGTATCATCAGACCCTGTGTCGCAAGGCTGGTGGAGGCAGTGTCGTCGAATAGATGCGATGGGGCAGATACCATCGGCCCTGATTGGCTGCTTGGGTGTCCGGCGCTAACTGCTTCCCACCAATGCAAATTTGAACTTCCAGCCTTGTCCATCGAGAAAGCATTCGAGTTTGGAAAGCCGAAGTTGGAATCGAAAGTTGGAGCAGAGGTCCAAGGAGATATTGGGATCGATTTCGTCTGTGGTGGTGTTTGCAGGGAGTTCTGAGCGGCATTCTCATACAATGAAGTCGGGGATACCTGAGTCGATATTCGACGAGAATCGCTCGAGTCGGTAGTTGGCGAGGTCACCGGTGTCGATTGGCCTTGTAAAGGCAGAGAATATGTCGTCGATAAAGGCGAAAGCAGGTGGTCGAAGCTAGCTTGTCCACTGAGGGTTCTCGACTGCTGGCGCGATAGTCGAGGGAACTCCTTTGGTACAGGCGAGGACGGGCTGTTCTGAAAATCCTGTGGGAATGAATCTACCGCCTGTTCAATGCGGGCAGCCCACGTTTCGGGATGTCGAGGACGGTAATGGTTCGGCGAGAGCATCTTGGGCGGTTGGAGAGACTTGGGGGAATTCTTCCACTGAGACTTTTCGACTGCTCCACGACTCTGTTGCCGCAGTGCACATCGAATTGCAGAAGAGAGGCGGGACTGATTTTTATAATGTGTTAGGGAAGGTGAGGAGGGTGTTGATCCAAAGTGGGCGGGCTCTGCCTTTTGAAGGTTGTTGCTCTTAAGGCTGAATGGAATATCAGACGTCGATAGAGAGCCGCGTCCTATAGATTTCGGGTAGATAGGCTGATGGGATGCATTAAATTGAGGCGAGGCTGCCCCAAGTTCGGCATACTCGTTATGCGGCCAGTGGGGTAAGGTACTTGCGAAGTACGGCGACGATAAATTCGGTGGTGACTGGTCGCTGGTCAAGGCTGTGGAGCTAAACAACTTCGAAAACTCCTCTGAACTTGGTCCAGCGAATGAATTCTCGTCTGTCGCTCCAAAGAGGTCTGCATTGATATATTGGTCAAAGACATCATCGTAGGAGGGTTCGAGCCATTCGAATTCTTTGTTCGCCCGCTGTGCGGGCAACTCGAATCGCTTGTGAATCCCTGCCATCTTCGGTCAAATGTCGTGCTTTTGGAGTGAATTCGCCACAGTTGAGCTCATTCGATTCGCATATAGGAGGCTTGAAGGGATAATAATGCGGAGGTGGGAGGACAATTAGGGTAATATGTATGTGGAGATGGTGTCCATAGGCAACGGCAATGCGAGCAAGGGAGCAAACATGGAGAAAGTCGACCAACTTAGTAAAATGCTTTATATTAGGGATATGAACCTATTACCCAGCCTCCCTTCAGGAAAGGGGCATTCTTTTGTTGAAACAGCGGCATGGCATTCCAATAGCTTTTGCTAAGCTTGGGGCATGATACGCCTTGTAGCCAAATCCTGCAGGACTCATGTGGCTGGCGTTGGCATTCCAGTACCGTACCAAGGACGGGAAGAGTCTCCTGACCAACCATCAATTGAGGAATGTTAGTGTCACTTGCCACACCAGATCCAATGTCCACAACAGTCTTCATGATGGGGGCCCTGGTGACCGGGCATCAGGTAATGCAGTTACTCATGATAATGAACAAGACCAGTCATGTCCTGTCTACACAATCTAGGGATAGTTTCGACAACTGTGAAGTGCTGATGCTAAGAAGACCATGAATGCATTGTTGCTTCAAGCTGCATTCGGAAATGGGGCGATTGGAATGTTGGCTGGCATCACGTGATCGGATACATGCACAGAACTGCTGCTCATTTTGAAACTTGGTTTGCACATTATGAAGAACTCGACGGGAAGGAAATATGACAACACATGAACAGAATAGAACAAGATGATACGCAAGCGCCTGTACAAATGGACGTGGATCTCCAGATCAAGCCTTGATGAGGTGCCTTCAACTAGTTCCAAGGCCCAACATAATGTGATCAAAATCCTTCCAGCCAACAGCCAGCCAACATAGAACCTATTCCCAATTGAATATTCTCCGAAAGCATACGATATCCTAATTATAGGACGTGAGATGGAAGATGCAAGATTAAACCTGAAATCTCAACTAGTTAGCGAAAAGTTCGATCTTGAGAGATGCAAAGGCTTTGAGAGATTGATAGATATTCAGTCATCCAAGGAAGGAATTCGGCAATCAGCGTTGTCATGAAATGGGTTCAAGCGACAACTATTGTGGAAACTGCGAATGTGGAAAAGATTTCATCACTAGAGTAGACGAAGGTGTAGAAAAGATGAGTAGTACTTACCAAAGTAGACAGACGACAGGCAATGTTCGAGTACAACCGCTCACATCTGCTCACAGTGTAACTTCAAGGTTCTCTCCACAGCCATATCGCACATAAGAAAGGCTGATGGAGAGTTGCTGAAGATGTTCCAAAGTGGTGGTGTGGACAGAAAAGTTTGTAGATGGGAGAGTTTGTTGCATGTAGAATTTTTTATTTACGCGCCTATGCTTAGTCAGGTAGAGAGCCTGGTGCACGTGATGAGGCTCGACCCACTCACGCCATGATGTCAAGCCCCGAATAACACCGAACACAACGCCGAGGTGAGATTATGGAGAACAGCACGTTCAACGTCGCTTTTCGACTCCTTCAAGATCTCAATTGAATCCCAAAATTCGATCAATTCAAAATTCAACATGGCTTCAAACGTGGTCAAGGCTATTAGCCGGTCGTCAAGAGTATCATTCTCCCCATTCTCTGCAATCAGGCCATTCCATACATCCCGAGCAAGATGGAACGTCAACGATCGAAAGAACGACACCCAGGAACAGTACACAAAGAATGAAACCGAGAAGCCGCTGAACCCGCACATGACGGGAACCAACTCGACCATCACGAACAAGATGCCCAAGGTCGGAAAGGACGTCCCGCCGCCCGAATTGATTTCGTCCGTCGACCCCAACTATACCCCGAAGGATTCGATTCCCGAAAATACGGAAAAGATGACGGGAGGAACACAGAAGGGCGATCCAAGGTATGATGCCACCGCACGAGAGCTCGGGGTTGGGGAAATCGAAGGAGCATCTTTCAGAGTGGAGCCATTGAGGAGGACCGGAGAAGACATTGCTACTACGCGTGCTCGTTTAATATGTCTGACCCCTTTTGGTTCGAGCTGCTTGAATTGGAATATACGCTAACCCGTTCTTCCAATACAGATCAAAGTAGAAAGCGAGGGACACTGGAGAGCGATCTCCTGCTCTCAACCTTCGCGGATGCAAATCTTGGTAGCATGTCCGCGGAGCAGCTACAGCAATACGACCGCTTCCTTGACGAAAACGATTGGGATATCTATTACTGGGCTACTCAAGAGCCGTCAACAACATCAACGAACACCGCCGAAGGTGCTCCTGAGACGGCAGCACCTGCATCCCAAAGCAGGGTGCAAGCCGACGCTCCTGCTTGGACCCCGGATTCCGGAGAATGGGCGCAGACGGTTGGACGTTTTCAACCGGCTTACAGGCCTGTGCCTCAGCGCTGGAAAGACTCCGAGGTTTTGGCGTTGCTGAGGCAGCACGTCAAGGATCGTAGTGCCGGAGGCAGCAAAAAGCAAACAGAACGAGGGAGTGGTCTTGGTTTCATGCCTGAGCTGAAACAGTTCAATTAGACCGGTACCATGGCCCCTTGTATATATCATGTCGATACATGTGCTCTATGTGTACAAACACTGTAAAATATCACTGAATTGGATCACCCTTTCCCCCTGCCCCACTAGTAGTGTTAACAAAGAAATGGGCAATGCTAGACGATTCTCGCTCTCTGCTGTGTTGTGGATGCTTATCACCAGCTCAGAACCATTAAGGGAATGGAAGGAGATATCAGTATCACTTGCTTCCACTCACCGCCAGCTAACATTCGCGATATTTAACTTCAAAACTCTTGCAGCATTTTATAATCTCAGAACCTTCTATGCCAGCATAATCCCGATTGAGATCCGAAGAACTTGAAGACGAGCAGAAAATATCCCCGTTCGGTAACTTTTTACCGGAGCAACATCCTAGCGACGATGTCGTCTCGCGAAACGGCGGATTTAGACGGCTACATTAAGAAATGCCACCCCTTCTCCGCGCTCGATACAAAACGTCCAATATTCGGTCTGGGACCCGAGCACCAGCCCCAACTTCAAAGATCCACGGGAAATCGGATCCTACTTTTTCCTGGCTGCTTCTACCCTCCTCATCCTGAACATGAGACGTTTCTCTATCACACATACAAGAGCCTACAACGCATTCATGTTATCGCGGCGATAGTGCTACCCTTGTACGACGAAGAGATTAAATCGAAGTCCTGTGTCACGGGTGCGATGAACCTACCGCTGACGAAAGAGCAGAGAGTTCGGCTGTGGAGAGGGGACGGACCACCCAAGGAGTGGTACTGGATTTATGATCGTAGCATACAAGAGTGGGATTCCTTTCGCTGTCGCCTTGCCGAATCCATTACTCAGGATGGCTTCGATGTCAAATTTACCGTATTATACGGACTGATGGATGCTTGCCCACCCTGGAAAGTCTGGGATTGCGATGAGATCGCTGTCAGCAATACTTGCGGACCTACCGACTTTTCTATTTACCATACTCGATCTTACCTAAGTGGAAGAAAGACTTGGGGTAGTTCCCACTGTGGAGCACAACAGCGTACAGAGTTCACGAGCTGGATTATACGCTCTATAAACGTGCTTAGGGGAAAGTCAACAGCCGGTTAGTATAATCCTAGTGACTGAAAATCAGGCTAATTGAATTCTAGATGTGCGAGACATTGATCGATTAGTGAAAGAGGCACGCAGGAAGGCCCAGGACCTGGACAATTGCATCATCCGAAGCGACCGTAAATGACACAGGATGTACTTCGACAGTAAAGGCATTATCGCACCTGGAGAACGCCCAGTGGTCAGCTCAAGATATATTCGGCGGCTCATAGCCAGTTCCGACACCGAGACGCTTCGTGAAGAACTGGTCTCGATAGCCATAAACTTGCACATTCTCCTGCAGTTTATTATTGAAAGTCGACAGGCCATTTAGATCTGGAAAGATTGTGACCCACTGCACCTACACCTGTTGCATACCGAAATCCTATTTGCCTGTCTGGATTCACCTTCTTGTTGGGAGAGAGCGAAGCTTCGAAGACGATTTGTAGAATACTAAGTCCTGGTACTGGTACTTAAGTTAAGTACTCATGACGAATTCAAGGAAAGGAAACAGGTATACATAGATATTCAACCGTGCTTGATCGTAAAAATGAAGCTTCGGCGACTCGCCTTGACACATCATTAACAGGGAGGGAGGGAGCGGAAATCCTTCCGCCGCTTGGCGGTCATCTCCCACGTAACCCCAACCTTCCAGCTCATTCAAACCGAAACTAATGATGTCGATCCAATCGACTTTATTGTTTCAACAGTGTCCATTCCGCGTCGCCAAGTTTTAATATTTCCTTATATAAAACAAAACCCAATCCATGAGGTTGCTCCACACCGAGAGCTTCGAGCTCGAATGGTTTCCCGAAAATGGCGTCCCGCCATATGCCATCGTGTCCCATACCTCGGACTGGGACGAAGTTCTATTCTCAGATATGAGTTCCGGCCTTAGTTGGGGGGTGTCATCTAAGAAGGGGTTCCAGAAAATTGCACAATGCGCTCGCATGGCGAAGGCGTCCTATAACCTGGAGTGGCTCTGGATCGATTGCTGTTGTATCGACCGCGAATCTGAGGAGGAATTCGAAGAAGCAGTGAATTTCACGTTCATGTGGTATCAGCAAGCGACCGTCTGTTTTGTGTATTTGTCCGATGTCATCGTCCGACCCGCTTCCTCGTTTGAGCTGGATGCAGCGGATGCGAAATGGTTCACAAGAGGCTGGACCCTTCAGGAACTCATTGCGCCCCGGAATCTCGAATTCTACTCCGGCGATTGGACGTACATGGGCGAAAAGAGTGAGCATTTGGAGGTGCTGAAGAGGATCACCGGGGTTCCGCGTACGGTGCTCGAGAACGGGAATTTTGACGGGTTCAGTGTTGCTCAACGAATGTCTTGGGCAGCATGGAGGGAGACCAGCGTCCCAGAAGACATTGCGTATTGCCTGGTCGGGCTCTTCGAACTGAAGTGCAAGTTCATCTGTCAGAGTGGAGAAGGTGCGAGTAAGGCAATGCACAGGCTCCAGGAGGAGATCTTCGAGCATTCCGAGGAGCAGTCCATCTTCGCTTGGAAAACTGACACCTGTGATCCCTCCATTTACCGCTCTCTCTTCGCCGATTCCCCGGCGGAGTTCAAGGACTGTGGAGACATATCCATCATGTCTGATTCCTACCTTCCACACGACATGGACGACATAGATTTCGGTCCTGGAGTCACTTTCCGAGGCTACTTCTGTTTGCACGACCCAGAGGGATTCTGCGCTTACCTTAATTGCGTAAGAGGAGGGCCTGAGGCTGCAGCAGACGAGATGCAACACCATCCCGTGATCCGGCTGATCCGGTTAGCGGCGCCGAAGGGTGGCATCAATCAAACATACCGGGTTGACGCTCATCGCCTTGATTATTGGGGAATCGCCGACGGCCATGGCGAAACCGCCACCGAATATGAACAAACCAAATCTGTAAAGGTAAAAGATTTCGACCCACCGGATGAGTTACCAAAGGCCTATCTATCAAACCGGAGCAAAGGGTTCTTGTTCCGCGACTTTTCAGGGGTTGGGAGGCAATATCACATCCAACCTTGGTCCTACCCACCTGTTGGGGAAATCAGACGACTCCCGCCTCTGAATGGGCGAGGATCCAAGTTGTTTGTCCCTTTTCATGCGATTGAACCCTTCGATAATGACGTTCCTCCCCATTATACCAAAGATATTATAATCGAGACCACGAGAACGGACGAGTTATCCATGTTTCATATAGCTTTGGAATTCCACCCAGGAAAGCCCGGACGACGTTGGCAGGACGGGAAGCTATGCAAGGAGACGATCCCCATGGTTTCGTTTGAATTCCACGCAGTCAAGGTAAATTCATTCTTCCTTTCTATCCTTCAAATATCTCATTTCGACTTAGGAAGACGGGGTGCTCTCTGATAAACTGAACGACATGGCGCATCCGTTTGCTCTTGAATGGAGAAGCGTATTTGTCAATCACCAGATCTGGACCGCCGTTGATCTAACATTGAAGCCTGATATTGAAGACTGATATTTGATGGGACGCCTGGGATGAAAACAGAGGGTTGGGATCATCGACTTGCGCAAGCAGAAGGGATATACGGCGGCAATCATATATCTTTTGAGGTAGTGAAGGACGAAAAGAAGATACTAAAAGTCGTGCTTAGTGGATTTCCACGCCCCAGGAGGATGCTCCAGAGCCAAGGATTTCGTCCACAACGATTTCTCATAGTGGTATTTCATTGAGCTACTCCGACTCCCCCACTCGCTCCAGGTGCGCCTGACACTCTGGAGTTCCAGACTGCGACGAGGAGATCGTGTTTCTGCGGCCACGGCGGCCGGATAGTGTAGTCACTGCCGTGTAATTGCAAAACGGCCAGCAAGGGAGGCGGGTCGTATCACAGTTTCGAAGAATTCGAGAGCGTCAGCCCAAGCTTGGCGTCCCGTCCCAATGTTTGGAGAATTGGGAAGGGCGAGGGTCGAGGGAGCGGCAGATATACAGGAGGATGGTGGCTGCGAGCAGTTCTCTGGGTGCGTGGTAGGAGTTGAAAGTTGAGCATCCATTCAAGGATGGAGGATGGAAGCAAGGAGAGACCGCAGGATGTCGAAGGGACAAATCTAAGAACCTAGATTGCCCCAAAAACTAGATTGCCCCTAAACCTGATTGTGATGCCGGTTGAGCTTCATTGTTCGAAGAGGATTGAAGGGCTGGGGAAGTGCGTTAAGGTGAAGATATATTTCCTAAACTCTACAGCATTAAACGACCAGGTATCCCTCCAGTCCCTGGAGATGGCCACATTCAGAATAGCTGACTCAATATCCGGGATTATTTTATAAATATATTTGCGGACAGATGATTCAGTCCGTCTGGATAGTTCTCGATTATAAATGCAGTCTTTACCATTAGTGGCCATATGTACAAGAGTGACCCGAGTCCGAGGAGCACGGCACATCAATACCTCGTCATGCATTCTAACCCTCCTGCTCCTCACCATCCTCTACTGCAAATAGTCCCCATTTGTCTCCTTATGAATCACATCAAACAATGGTTTCGCGCTGAAATACCCCGCCATCGGCGTCCCAACTGTCCTATACGTCGCCATCGCCTCCTCATGCCCGATCTTCACCGTCGCCCCACCGCGGCCCCCGGCGGCGGCGTCGGCAAGCAACTGCGCGTGGCAGCACCGGTCCATCGACACGAACCAGAAAACGGCCTCTTCGATGGTGCCGCCGGCGGTCAGCAGGCCATGATTTTGCAGGAGGGCCGCCTTGGCGGTGCCGAGGGTGGCGGCGATGTCCTTGCCTTCTTTCTCAGCGAGGACGACGCCGTTGAAGGTGGAGTAGAGTACGTGGTCCTGGAAGGAGTCAGTGCAGATTCGCTACCTCGCTCATATCGTTCATTGCTTGGTATATCTTGCGCTAGGCGAAAGGGAATCAGGGGCAACACAGCCACATACCTCATAAAACGCGCATGAATCCTGCGTGATGCAATCCAGCGTCCTGCCCAGCGTGCAGAAGCTGCGTCCGTAGATGCTGTGCGAGTGTGCCGCGGCGTTTACATCCGGCCGTGCTTCGTGGACGGCGGAGTGGATCATGAAGGCGGCGGAGTTGAGCAGCCGGCATTCGCCGCCGTCGATGACCTTGCCTTCGTGCGAGACGAGGAGCAGGTCGCTTTTCTTGATCAGGTTGAAGGAGATGCCCATGGGGTTGACCCAGAAGCTGGTCTTGTCGACAGGATCCTGGGGAATGGGTCAGCCTTCGAGAAGGGATAGTTAGGGGGTTTGGTGGAGGGCGGCGGGGGGTTGGTGGCGTCTTACCCTCACTGTAATGTGTCCAGCGACGCCCTCGTCGAAGCCGAATTTCCCGAAAATTCGGAATGCAGCAGCAAGTCGACCTTTCAGGTAGTCTCTCTCTTTGTACGGGTCATCGAACTTTAGTGGCCCCGTGATACCGGGCATCACCACGCGTTCCTGCTTGACGCCTGGGTTGACAGTGACGCTGACGGTGGGTCCATCGTCGATCCCGAGATCTTGGGTTGCAGCTGGCGGAGACATGATGGGGAGGATTTACGAACGAGATAGTCAATGGGATACTGAAAAGACAGACGAAGAAATAGAGGCTCAGAGGCGTGGACTTGAGGAGTTACCGGTATATAATAAATCTTGGTCAGATAGAGGTGAATAATCTGTTAGCACAGGAATGGGGAGTATTACTTCCGAGTAGCCGTTACGAGAGGGGGGTTATCTTTAAGAACTTTCTGACTGATAGATCTGTATCTAGAGTTAAAGAGTGAACATGATCATCTTCTCCTCAATCTGCAAACAAGGCAATGCCGACGTGGATGGAGTGGTGCGGGGCTCTGCCGACGACCAGCCAAATCATCTGCATTCTGGTTGGTCTGACGAAGTCATAGTGTGGGGTAAGACATCGCCGTAAAATAGCCTCAGGCAACTATTCCCAACGCCGCTAAGTGGCGCTTACAGATAATGAGGATTCGTCGTTGGTGAATGGTGATGGTAAGTGGAATATCCTGAGGCCACCTTCCCTTATGGCGTTGGTGGTTGAAGGGAAAAGGGGTCCTTTTTGATCCGGAATGTCGGACTGTGCCATGGCAATTGAATTAGGGTCCGTTCGCTGCAAAGCCAACCTCGACCCTCGTCAAGGGATCAACCTCTGTCCTGGAGCTCTTCAACTACCAGACGGCCAACTCCGTCTCGCATCGCATACCTATCTTAGGTCCTATATCGCTCGGCAAAGTTTCAGCAGGAAAGCAGAGGGAGTAGGAAGCCTCGGTGTAAGAAAGGTGTCGATTGGGCTGCTATTTGAAGGGTCCGATACGGCCCCTGGAACGCGTCGGTTACTAGCCGGTGTCGGCGCGTCGTTAGCCATGTTAGCCATCCGTATTCCTCCCGATATCGTTCAAAGCAGATGGGAAGTCCAGGAATGCGTTGGTCGTGGACTCTCTGGACGGGTTGCTTTCTGTATTGGGAGTGATCACGTTTTGGGCAGTGGTTTGGATGAGCTTGGGTGAGGAAACGTCCAGTTCTATTGCCCTAGCAAGAAATGATTGATGTCTAGCAAGTTTTGGTTGAGATTAGTATGGTGTGGACTCATTTACTAGAAATACCTGCAAGACATTACTTACAAGCGGGGACAGTAACGATCAGTTCATGTTGCCCGTACTACTGTAATCTTTGCGCAGCTTCCAATCTTCCCACTCATACCCCGGCGCACGATGATGCTTGTCATAACACAGCATGGCCCATAACCAGATGGCATTCATGAAAGCCAATGAGTATAACATCGCGCCTAGCTTCAACGCATTTGGAAGCCCGGCCAGTCTGTATAGCAACACAGGTGACAGGACCTCCAGGCAGTAAGTATATATAGCCCTCAAGAGTAGAAAATGCAAAATAGGCATAGACTTTGGTAGGTCCATATCTGCCAAGCTTACATGGGGCATCACTCTCACTTGGGTGGGGAAATCTGGGATGGTGGGCATGAGTCCACGAGACCCCCGATCCATCGTCCGGGACGAGACGAGAACCACTCCCATTCCACAGGACAAAGCAACATGCAGATCGGAAAGTTCGGTGTGCCTCATAGTTGATACTTCTTCAAGCCGTTATTACGGATACGAGGTCAATAACCTTGGGCTGCTTCTCACATGACCGTTATCTGCTGATTGCTGAAGGCTGAAGCTGGTTGATTACTCATGGAAAGGCAATCCCCAATGGTGGCAATGGAATCAACTCCAGAAAATGCCGCATATTTCTGGACCGACAACTGGTCAATTTAAAAGCATCCAATGGTTACCACGCCATCTTTATGTGAGTCTGTGAGAGAGAATGCAATGGACATGAAGGGTACGGAAATAGAACGGGATGCGGGGCACCGAAATAATCCATCCCTTGACATTCGATGGGCCGGATCAATCGTCTCTGAAGGGAATAGCGTCGACATATTGACATCCACGCCCTACGCAACCTGCATGCCCAGTTTTCCAGAACTGCGACCAAAACGCCTTGCAGTGCTGGGCATGACCAGAATCGCGCATGTTCATGTTCACGTCGGTCTAGCAGCTTCGTCGAATTCTCCATCACCGCTGCCTGTTGCCAGTAGGGCTGGACACGAATATTCGATTACGAATATTCGTACGAATATTCGTAGTCGAATACGAATAAAATTTAGAATTTCCGCTTACTAATATTCGTACGAATAATATTCGCATTATTCGTAATTATTCGTAATTATTCGTAAATCTCTGAAGCTATTTCCATGTATCTCGCAGCATCATAAGACGCCTCATAGTCTCTGCACTCATTGAGCTCCTCCGCACTCCTAAGAGATCTCTTCCCCCACTGAACAGTCTTTCGACTGATACCCCAGATGCTGGTATAGCCAAATAATCTCTGGCAGCTGCAGCCATACGTGGGTACTCATGGTAATGAGACCTCCACCAAGAGAGC